TTAGGATTTGGTAAAATATTAGGGATTAGGATTTGGTAAATATTAGGATTTGGTAAAATATTAGGATTTGGTAAAATATTAGGATTTGGTAAAATATTATTTGGTAAATATTAGGATTTAGGGTAAAATATTAGGATTTGGTAAAATATTAGGATTTAGGGTAAAATATTAGGATTTGGTAAAATATTAGGATTTGGTAAAATATTAGGATTTGGTAAAATATTAGGATTTGGTAAAATATTAGGATTTGGTAAAATATTAGGATTTGGTAAAATATTAGGATTTGGTAAAATATTAGGATTTGGTAAAATATTAGGATTTGGTAAAATATTAGGATTTGGTAAAATATTAGGATTTGGTAAATATTAGGATTTGGTAAAATATTAGGATTTGGTAAATATTAGGATTTGGTAAAATATTAGGATTTGGTAAAATATTAGGATTTGGTAAAATATTAGGATTTGGTAAAATATTAGGATTTGGTAAATATTAGGATTTGGTAAATATTAGGATTTGGTAAATAATTAGGATTTGGTAAATATTAGGATTTGGTAAAATATTAGGATTTGTAAAATATTAGGATTTGGTAAAATATTAGGATTTGGTAAATATTAGGATTTGGTAAAATATTAGGATTTGGTAAAATATTATTTGGTAAAATTTAGGATTTGGTAAATATTAGGATTTGGTAAAATATTAGGATTTGGTAAATATTAGGATTTAGTAAATATTAGGATTTAGTAAAATATTAGGATTTGGTAAATATTAGGATTTAGTAAATATTATTAGTAAAATATTAGGATTTGGTAAATATTAGGATTTGGAAAATATTATGATTTGGTAAAATATTAGGATTTGGAAAATATTAGGATTTGGTAAAATATTAGGATTTGGTAAAATATTAGGATTTGGTAAATATTAGGATTTAGTAAAATATTAGGATTTTGTAAATATTAGGATTTAGTAAAATATTATGATTTGGTAAATATTAGGATTTGGAAAATATTATGATTTGGTAAAATATTAGGATTTGGAAAATATTAGGATTTGGTAAAATATTAGGATTTGGTAAAATATTAGGATTTGGTAAAATATTAGGATTTGGTAAAATATTAGGATTTGGTAAAATATTAGGATTTGGTAAAATATTAGGATTTGGTAAAATATTAGGATTTGGTAAAATATTAGGATTTGGTAAAATATTAGGATTTGGTAAAATATTAGGATTTGGTAAAATATTAGGAAAATATTAGGATTTGGTAAAATATTATTTGGTAAAATATTAGGATTTGGTAAAATATTAGGATTTGGTAAATATTAGAATTTGGTAAAATATTAGGATTTGGTAAAATATTAGGATTTGGTAAAATATTAGGATTTGGTAAAATATTAGGATTTGGTAAAATATTAGGATTTGGTAAAATATTAGGATTTGGTAAAATATTAGGATTTGGTAAAGGATATGGAGGATTTGGTAAAATATTAGGATTTGGTAAATATTAGGATTTGGTAAAATATTAGGATTTGGTAAAATATTAGGATTTGGTAAAATATTAGGATTTGGTAAATTATGAGGATTTGGTAAAATATTAGGATTTGGTAAATATTAGGATTTGGTAAAATATTAGGATTTGGTAAAATATTAGGATTTGGTAAAATATTAGGATTTGGTAAATTATGAGGATTTGGTAAAATATTAGGATTGGTAAAATATTAGGATTTGGAAAAATATTAGGATTTGGTAAAATATTAGGATTTGGTAAAATATTAGGATTTGGAAAATATTAGGATTTGATAAAATATTAGGATTTGGTAAAATATTAGGATTTGGTAAAATATTAGGATTTGGTAAATATTAGGATTTGGTAAAATATTAGGATTTGGTAAATATTAGGATTTGGTAAAATATTAGGATTTGGTAAAATATTAGGATTTGGTAAAATATTAGGATTTGGTAAAATATTAGGATTTGGTAAATATTATATTAGGATTTGGTAAAATATTAGGATTTGGTAAAATATTAGGATTTGGTAAAATATTAGGATTTGGTAAAATATTAGGATTTGGTAAAATATTAGGATTTGGTAAATATTAGGATTTGGTAAAATATTAGGATTTGGTAAAATATTAGGATTTGGTAAAATAAAATATTAGGATTTGGTAAAATATTAGGATTTGGTAAAATATTAGGATTTGGTAAAATATTAGGATTTGGTAAAATATTAGGATTTGGTAAAATATTAGGATTTGGTAAAATATTAGGATTTGGTAAAATATTAGGATTTGGTAAAATATTAGGATTTGGTAAAATATTAGGATTTGGTAAAATATTAGGATTTGGTAAAATATTAGGATTTGGTAAAATATTAGGATTTGGTAAAATATTAGGATTTGGTAAAATATTAGGATTTGGAAAATATTAGGATTTGGTAAAATATTAGGATTTGGTAAAATATTAGGATTTGGTAAAATATTAGGATTTGGTAAAATATTAGGATTTGGTAAAATATTAGGATTTGGTAAAATATTAGGATTTGGTAAAATATTAGGATTTGGTAAAATATTAGGATTTGGTAAAATATTAGGATTTGGTAAAATATTAGGATTTGGTAAAATATTAGGATTTGGTAAAATATTAGGATTTGGTAAAATATTAGGATTTGGTAAAATATTAGGATTTGGTAAAATATTAGGATTTGGTAAAATATTAGGATTTGGTAAAATATTAGGATTTGGTAAAATATTAGGATTTGGTAAAATATTAGGATTTGGTAAATTATGAGGATTTGGTAAAATATTAGGATTTGGTAAATATTAGGATTTGGTAAAATATTAGGATTTGGTAAAATATTAGGATTTGGTAAAATATTAGGATTTGGTAAAATATTAGGATTTGGTAAAATATTAGGATTTGGTAAAATATTAGGATTTGGTAAAATATTAGGATTTGGTAAAATATTAGGATTTGGTAAAAAAATATTAGGATTTGGTAAAATATTAGGATTTGGTAAAATATTAGGATTTGGTAAAATATTAGGATTTGGTAAAATATTAGGATTTGGTAAATATTAGGATTTGGAAAATATTAGGATTTGGAAAATATTATGATTTGGTAAAATATTAGGATTTGGAAAATATTAGGATTTGGTAAAATATTAGGATTTGGTAAAATATTAGGATTTGGAAAATATTAGGATTTGGTAAAATATTAGGATTCGGTAAAATATTAGGATTTGGATTTGGTAAAATATTAGGATTTGGTAAAATATTAGGATTTGGTAAATATTAGGGTAGGATTTAGTAAATATTAGGATTTGGAAAATATTATGATTTGGTAAAATATTAGGATTTGGTAAAATATTAGGATTTGGTAAAATATTAGGATTTGGAAAATATTAGGATTTGGTAAAATATTAGGATTCGGTAAAATATTAGGATTTGGTAAAATATTAGGATTTGGAAAATATTAGGATTTGGTAAAATATTAGGATTTCGTAAAATATTAGGATTTGGTAAAATATTAGGATTTGGTAAAATATTAGGATTTGGAAAAATATTAGGATTTGGTAAAATATTAGGATTTGGTAAAATATTAGGATTTGGTAAAATATTAGGATTTGGTAAAATATTAGGATTTGGTAAATATTAGAATTTGGTAAAATATTAGGATTTGGTAAATATTAGAATTTGGTAAAATATTAGGATTTGGTAAAATATTAGGATTTGGTAAATATTAGAATTTGGTAAAATATTAGGATTTGGTAAAATATTAGGATTTGGTAAAATATTAAGATTTGGTAAAATATTAGGATTTGGTAAAATATTAGGATTTGGTAAAATATTAGGATTTGGTAAAATATTAGGATTTGGTAAATTATGAGGATTTGGTAAAATATTAGGATTTGGTAAAATATTAGGATTTGGTAAAATATAAGGATTTGGTAAAATATTAGGATTTGGTAAAATATTAGGATTTGGTAAATTATGAGGATTTGGTAAAATATTAGGATTTGGTAAATATTAGGATTTGGTAAAATATTAGGATTTGGTAAAATATTAGGATTTGGAAAATATTAGGATTTGGAAAATATTAGGATTTGGTAAAATATTAGGATTTGGAAAATATTAGGATTTGGTAAAATATTAGGATTTGGTAAAATATTAGGATTTGGAAAATATTAGGATTTGGTAAAATATTAGGATTTGGTAAATATTAGAATTTGGTAAAATATTAGGATTTGGTAAAATATTAGGATTTGGTAAATATTAGGATTTAGTAAAATATTAGGATTTGGTAAATATTAGGATTTAGTAAAATATTAGGATTTGGTAAAATATTAGGATTTGGTAAAATATTAGGATTTGGTAAATATTAGAATTTGGTAAAATATTAGGATTTGGTAAAATATTAGGATTTGGTAAAATATTAAGATTTGGTAAAATATTAGGATTTTGTAAATTATTTGGATTTGGTAAAATATTAGGATTTGGTAAATATTAGAATTTGGTAAAATATTAGGATTTGGTAAAATATTAGGATTTGGTAAAATATTAAGATTTGGTAAAATATTAGGATTTGGTAAAATATTAGGATTTGGTAAAATATTGTTTTGGTAAAATATTAGGATTTGGTAAAATAATAGGATTTGGTAAAATATTAAGATTTGGTAAAATATTAGGATTTGGTAAAATATTAGGATTTGGTTAAATATTGTTTTGGTAAAATATTGTTTTGGTAAAATATTAGGATTTGGTAAAATATTAGGATTTGGTAAAATATTAGGATTTGGTAAAATATTAGGATTTGGTAAATTATGAGTATTTGGTAAAATATTAGTATTAGGTCGAATTACGACCAATTTAAGATATGATGTAAAATAAATCTTATCAAGCCTACAATACCTCTCATTGGTGGGCCGTTCATCTCCTGCATCATATCAAGTTGCCTTCTATAGAACAGGCGATATACACCTTACCAGTGTGTTCCTCTCCCCTGACAGACCGAAGAAGCCACCGTCTACAGTATTGCCCCGCGTGCTACGGGACGATGATCCCTGTCTGGTGAGCACAGTGACGGAGTCCATCCTGCCACTCCTCCCAGACAAGACGCCAGCTTCCTCCGGCTCCTCTACACCTCTTGGCATCCGCCAGGGGCCCCAGGTTAGCCCATTCAACGGATCCGCCAGTATCTCCAGTTCTTGATTTTATTTTTCTCAGTTCTCCTCTCCTTACATTCTCACTTATTTCTGTACAACCTCCTTCACCAGTGTCATTTCGTCTACCACCCTGTAGTGTCCTTTCTACCTCTTCTCAACAGCTTTGCATAGTCTGAAGACAAGGGTATAAATAATCCTATTTCCTCTCTCAGATTGGGATTGAATGGGTCCCAATACTGATCCCCGAGGCACCTCGCCTGTGATATCTTGCCACTCTAATTCCTCCTTCACAGTTACTCTCTGTCTCCTAATAAACCCATCCCAGCTCTCTTCTAATTACACCAGCTTTGTTCTAATGTTTGTTTTAAGAGTCCTATGTTGGACGGCATCAAATACTTTAGGAAAAGCAAGTAATATACACAACTAGTTCACCCTTCTTACCTCTTGTTTTATCGATCATTTTGTCGTAAAACTCTAACCAATTCATCACGAATGACCTAACTTAACTGGAGCTGTTACAAGTAGGAGGATTTAAAAACGTCTGTATAGTAAGTTACCTAGAATAACCTTCAGTGAAAGCTAGGCCAGGCCCGGCCTCCAGGGAACTCCTCTCCCTCAAACCAAATACAGGACGAATTGGGTAAATCAGCCTACACTTCACAGGAAGAACAAATCTCCCACTACACCTAATTCACATTTATTAACCTCCCCTCCCCCCCCCTGCCAACTCCAAGTAACAAATCCTTACCACATCCTACGTTACGTTATCCCAGAACTTACCTATAAGCACCGGACGAGATGTACAATATAGCAGGCCAGTGGTCAGCACTTTGATTCCGCTATAGCGACAACTTTCCACTTAACCTAACACGCTAAAATAAATTGCATCTCTTACTGAAGTGCCTAGAAACCCATGTTCCAACAAGGTGCAGCACCACATATCACATGAAATACGAAATGGTGGCTCTTCTACTTAACATAGAGTGGTTACTTACCTAAGATATGTGCACCAGGTTCACCACAACCTCCTCCCGTCAACCCTAGCTACAGAGAGACGCGCGAAGTCCGCCATGTGACTGGTTGCCTACTTGGTACAAATATCATACTGTGAAAACATTTACACAAAACATCCTAACAATTATCAACCCCAACCATTCAATTTTTTGGATTAATGTAACATTCTGGCTCTATACTCTACTAGTCAAAATATCACAATAGCATATCTAAACTCCCTAGTACAGCATATTCTTACGTCTGGCAGTGTATTTTAAAATGTAAATAAATGCAAAACCTTTGCCTGTTCGTTCAAATTCAATAGTACCAAATTCTACTTTTTAATTATCCACATATGTACGATGGCCCACATTGTTACTATAAGTACTATTTAAACTGATGGAATGGGCAGAGTTGAAAGAAAAATGGGTGGGTCAGCTCTTCTTGGGTTTCAGTGATTATTATTTTTGTGTTAGTGTTTTGTTGTTTTAACTGTTTTTGTCGTCCTGTGCTAGGTGAGAGTTTAGATATATGCCTATGTATCTTTTCACTGTTCGCTACACTTTCCTTGGCAAAACATTCCATTGGTCCTTTGCGTCCCAAATGAGTCTTACCGCACGAGCACGACCTTGCTCGTATTTTCCCAAATAAGACGTTTTCAGCATACGAAGTTCTTCCATATTCAACAACTGTTCATCTAATATCTTTTCAACTCACCTCGAATCTTCTTCCATATACATCCTGTGCATCACCCTCTAGTCTGATGGTATGTTTCCATACACATATATTTGTTTATCCATTATCAGGGACAGGAAACTGTACAAGTCTTACCGAGGTACCACTGCAGCCACGACTCTCCTTTCCCAGAATGCTATCCACAATGGTTGCCTAATTCCTACTACCTATTTACTGACAAGTGAACTGACACATATAAGGAAACGTACCCAAATGCCTTAGGCGAAATGACTTTCCACATGTCACAATTTGACACTTCCCTCTTCACTTTCAGGTACTAGAGATGGTGAATCTTCGTGATGGTGACCGCACCATCTCCCTCCCGTCACTCAACGTTGAACACAACTACAACCAAATTCTCTCAGAGCTTGTCCTTAAGCTGTAGCCCCAAGTGACACATGATCTTGTCCTCCATTGCTCAATGCTTAAGCATTCACGTTTACTTCTGGGAGTGATAGGCTACCCAGGTATTATTTATCATCAGGCGATGTTGGTATACTATGTAGTTTTTCGTGATACTGATAAGGAAAAGGACATACATGATTAGATTTCTCTTGTCTTTCGAGCAACATTTAGTCCACATTATCTTCAATGTCATTATTTTTATTATTGTTATTTATATTCTTGTAAATGTGGCTTGTATGCCATTAACAACCAGATCTTTTTCCCAATGGCAATGAAGAACAAACTTGTTTATAGCTCGAGACATATTCATGGGAATGTTAAACTGTACATTCATTGTTATCAGCAAGTTTCTCATAAAGTATTATTACTTGAAAAGCAATAAATACAATTGCTGTGATGTTATTTTAAGGACTTATTACACTATGCCCTTGCTGGACGCCATTAATAACGTGCATTGGGTCAACAAATTATGGCTTGTCTGATTCTGCAAAAAAAAAAAAAAATACCTGGGTAGTTAGGTGAGCTTCAGGTAATACCTCTGAAGCTCCCACATCCAATGTAAACACTGAGAATGTATTATACATGGAGGCAACAAGTGAATTGTGTTGCGGTCACAAGCCTATCACGTTGAGGTAGCCTTTGCAGAAATGAGTTGACAACGACGGATTGCTTGCCCTACCTTGGACTGTAACAAGTGTTCTTGCTAGTCCACATATCTTGATAGCTGTGGTTCCCCATCCTTACTGCGTCACATTTATGTGAAATTATCTCCCATATCTCAGGGAAAGATGAAGAGGGCTTGTGTGGGTAACAGTAATTCCACTAAGTTGTGATACAATGAGGGTGGCCGAGGGATGGGAGAGCCACAGTGCCCACAAAGTAGTAACTTTGCCGTAGACGGCAGTTGGTGGTAGTTAATAAGATTAATCGCCTCTTTAAGGGTGTTATAATGTCTACAGGCATTCAAAACAAAGCAAAAGTGTGTGCCATATTTTTGTAATTACTCTGATGGTTATTTTAATTTTTGTACTTGCCTTTATGGAGTGTAATTCCCTCATTTAGAGGCTAAAAGGTGTGTGTCTGGGAGGAGCAACTTCGTGCTAAGAGTAAGGACTACCCTGAGGGACAGGATGACCCGCTGGTCAATATGGCATTCGGCAAAGATGCACCAAAACTTGAAGAGTTCCTAACTGTTTTCAAATAGCTTGTTTTTAAAGCTTAAATTTTTGTGTAGGTTTAGAAAGAGTAGAGAATATCTACACACTGTGTACACTCGTATTTCTTGTCAGTTTACAAATACAGTAGTGAGGACAGGTTACACTTGCAAGATAAGAAAATGTTGATACTTTCATTAGGTTTTGTTATGCTCTTGATGCAATGTTTTGTAATACATGCTCTATAATACTCCTACACATATTACTCTTGTTAAGACTAATATGTGTAAGACAAAATGCCAGTTTTACTTACTTTTTGTCGAGACGTGTGTGTAGGACTCTCTACTCCACCGTTGTGCAATAACAAGTGACTTCACAATAACTAACAGTGTCAGAAGCAATGCAAAAAACTAGAAGAATGAGTAAACAAAAAAAGATTATATCTATGATTAAAGAAAAAACAAATTGGTGAAAATATAATCCCTTCCCAAATTATTCACAACACAAGTTGCACATAACCAAAAAGATAGAAAAAGTGATGATTTTCCGATGTTTGAGCATGCTTCTGGCTGGCTGTGACATGTGGACTGTGATATTAGTCCTGCACTCCTTGTGATAGCACCAACCACCTGCATATTGTTGTACCCCTGTAGGTACTTGCTTGTTCTCCTGCTGCTGACTGGTCTGGCAGGCATTGTTTCTTGTCATAATACATTACTGTAGCAAAAGCAACCCATGGCACACTATTCTCCTTAAAATGTGGTGTAAAAATATTCCTTGCCCTGATTCTTTTTAACTTTATTAGGATCCTGTAGTTCGTTCAAGACCAAAGGGTCCTGGGTTGGAATCCTGCAGCAGGACAGATGTATTTGGGCATAAAGTATTTCCATTCACTTGATGCCTCTGTTTACCTAGCAGTAAAATAGGTACATACAAGATAAACAACTGTTGTGAATTGCATCTTTGGAAAGGTCAGTACAGTAGTTGGCCTAAAGGGCACCTCAACAAGACTTCCTGTCCTGATAATGGGAAATCAAATGGAAAACCAGTTTCAGTTAAACAAAATTTCTTATGCACATCTTGACTCAGTGATGTGGCACAACCAAGAGCATTTAGTAAAGAATTGCTTGATAATCTGTCTATGGAATTATAATCAGGAAAACCTAATCTAGGCCTAAATCAAGAAAAGCATTTACATATAATTTATTCATTTTACAGTATTTGCAAAAATTATATTTTTTTAAGCTTTGGGTCGGTTTCTTTGGGTAATTAAAGGGGGGACTTGACTCTAACTGTGCAGATATACAGTAATGCCACACCATAATTTTAAATAAATTCAGGTAGAACACTTGTGAAATTTCAGTTCAGAATATAACACAGTAGCACCCATGAACAAATTCTGTATTAAATATTTATTTCACTGTAGCTGTTGATTTATACATATTTAGCTCCAGAATAATTTTGTTTATAAAAATTTGTTTTGCCTAGTACTTTCAGCATTATTTAGTTTTTTAGTCTATAAAGTGTTTATATTTTGCATATTAATGCTGTAGGTTTAAATAGGCACAAACAGGGAACATTGCAGAAATATAATATAAATGAAAGAATACTGTCTTGGTTTACATTATGTATGATGTTTACATTTCTTTCTGTGAAGAGAAACTTAAAAAAACTATTACTACAGTATTGCTGTTATGGCCTCATTTAGCCAGTAACTGGGTTCTTTACTTATAACAAACTGTATATGGGGCCTAAGTGCCTCTTCTTACCTGATCCCTCCCCGAGTCATTGGTAAGTTATTAAGAACTGGCAGTAATAATCAATTTAAAAGGGGGTAAACAACACTAAACAGAACTATCACACAAGTGTACTTCTTAAATACATATACACATATGTTCATAACATCACACTTCAAGTGTCGCTTTTGCACAGGACACTATATAACTTCTGCAATCTTCTTTCCTGGAGAGTCCACTTTTATCTTTTAATGTACACCACTTAAGGTTCCCTCCCTGGTCTGTCTCCTATGGTCCTCACACCTGCGAGTTCACCTTTCACAGTAAAACATTGAGCCAGTCCTACACAGTATCGTTCTGGTGCCAAAACATCACTTCTGCTCTCCAGCAACAGGCTGGCAGACCTCTCCACTAATACGCTGGCTGAAGTCTCCAGCAACACACTGGCAGAAGTCTCCAGCAACACACTGGCAGAAGTCTCCAGCAACACACTGGCAGAAGTCTCCAGCAACACACTGGCAGAAGTCTCCGGCAACACACTGGCAGAAGTCTCCAGCAACACTGGCAGAAGTCTCCAGCAACACACTGGCAGAAGTCTCCAGCCACACACTGGCAGAAATCTCCAGCAAGACTGGCAGAAGTCTCCAGCAACACTGGCAGAGGTCTCCAGCAACACACTGGCAGAAGTCTCCAGCAACACACTGGCAGAGGTTCCACATAGGCTTATAACAAGCCTTAACAGACAGACAGTACTTCCGTCTCGTAACTCAATCTGGCCATCCTGGGGTACGTCGGTCCAATCACTAATACTTCACAAGTATTACAGACAAATCACTGTCTACACTAACTCTGCCACTTGTTCCCACAGGAACACATCTTGAGTTCAGGACTGCCCTGGGTGAACTGATTCCTGACGACCAAAATACCATCCACATTACTTCTGCCAACAAAAATGGGATTAGTAAGACAGAAACTATACAAGGATCATATACAATCCCAGCCTTCCACTGGGGAACCGAAATTGGGGTTGGGTGCACACCACAGACAACGTCACACCTCCCTAAAAGAATTGGGTGCTCTCCACAGATGGTGTTGATATCATCACACCTCTCCTCCTAAAAGAATTGGGGTTGGGTGCACTACACAGATGGCATTGGCATCGTCACACCTCCCTTCCTAAAGAATTGGGTGCGCTCCAAAAGATTCTCTACAACTACACAGATTCTGCTTTTTCTACAACATGAAAAAAATAAAAAGAACAGTTATTTTATAAATGCTGTATATAATTGAGAATATGGCAAAGTATTCTCTTCACATAAGCTGATGCCAGAGATTTCGGGGAGCTTGCTTTGCCGGGGTCATGTAGGGGGCTCACTCTGCTTCTTTCTCATTTTAACTTCCTCACTGTAAATGTGTGAATGCTTTGAGATATTAAGGTGTATGTATTTGTACCTTGTATGAGCAGAAGTGTGATCACATAATTGTCTGTGTGTATACATGCATGGTTTACATGGAAATACTTAAGCGTATTTGTGTGCGTATGTATCTAGTATCACTGTGTATATTTAAACATGCACTCTCAAATGACCCACACAAACATAAATACATTTGCACATAAAATAAGACAAATGCAGAAGTTACCTACACTCTCGAACACTCATGTTCGGGAGTGTAGGTAAGTTTAGAAAGTTTACACATGCTTGTGCAAGTATACAAGCACTTCTGTACACACAGACAACTACAGAATATATGCTCATAGAGGTACAAAATATAAGCAGTGAGGTTGTTAAAAAAGGCCATCACATTCTTGTTCTTGTTCTCAGCCCCCCAGATGCCCTCTCTCTCCATACCCCCTTTATCTCGCATCTCTCTCGAATCTCTCCACTTTTAGAGCAGAGAGATTTGACAGGTTAAAATCATCAATTACATTTTTTTTTAGCATTTGAAAGTAATATAAAAATACTACCCTTTGGTCGAGGTCTTCTGGGGCTTAAGCTCTATTCAGGGATGGTGCTAGATCATCAAAAGACGTTGCTAACTTTGATACGACTTGAAGGATTGAGAGATGCATGTAAGAGTATAACTGTATATGTTCTCCAAGAAGTATACTTTTCAATGTATATATGCCAAGTGTTCTGTATTATAATAGTGCAATGTAAATTGGGGCAGTATTCTTTCTTCTATTAAAATTTGTTCTTTAATATTTTGTGTCTGTGCCTTTACATACCTCTTCAAGGTATAGGAATGCATGCAAAAACAATCAATATATTTTTTAAATGTTATGCCAAATGAACATTTCTTTGTACAATTTTTTTTTTACAGATATTTACATATCTACAGACGAGGAGTCACAATAACATGGCTGAAATATGTTGACCAAATCACACACTAGAAAGTGAAGGGACGATGACGTTTCGGTCCGTCCTGGACCATTCTCAAGTCGATTATGAGAACAGTCAATCGACTTGACAATGGTCCAGGACAGACCGAAACGTCGTTGTCCCTTTACTTTCTAGTGTGTGTGGTTTGATCAACATTTACATATCTAGACTGTACATTATGCAAAATGTTCACTTTATGCAAGCTACTGTACTTATGGGTGATTGCAACTTGAAACAGTATTTACCAGCTGTACAGAAGCTCTCACCTTAGGTACCAGTGAGGTGCTGCTGTATGGAAGATGGAAATCTTGTTTTTAAGTAGCATAACATCATACAACATTAAAAAGGATATTTTTATCAATTGCAGATAAAACAGTATTATGACAAAAAACAATGCCTGTTTTGCCAGAAATCAAGATAGACTCTTAAAGACATAGTTTTGATTATTGTAGGCTTGCAATGTATCAACAATGGGACCATTTTTTTAATTGAGATGACGTTTAAGAGGGTGTGGCATATGTAATTTTGTGGAAATATTTAACTCGAGGGATTAACTAATGCAGTAATAATTTGCACATTTGCTTAATGAGAAAAGTAAATTCTAAAATATATAAGAAGTCAGGATGTGGTGTATCAACACCTTCTCGTGCAACACGTCAGGTTGTGGTACGGTTCCACCTTCTCATGTAACACGTCAGGTTGTGGTATGGTTCCACCTTCTCGTGCAACACGTTAAGTTGCAGTATAGCCACACCTCACTCTGGTACAAACACAAAGTTGTGCCTTGTGATTGATGAAACATGGGGGGAAGTCAAAAGGGCCTTATAGTTCATGCTGTGATCATTGACAGTAAATCTCTTGGCTTTCTTTAACCCCTTAGTTCCATTATCTGCAAATTGTGAATCTGAAAAACTTTTGCATTACCTTGGCTTTGTACCTTTTGAAGTTCTTATTCAAATGGTAGGCAGTGATACTTTATATCTTGCCAATTACTTTTTGATATTTGATATCTGCCTGAACTATGATGAACTTGCACTGACACGAGACTTCCCCTTACCGTCCAGCAAGACAATAAAACCGTCCCTCTGTTAACAATGTCACAAAGTATCATCACATTAGTTATGTTAATGAAATTCTTAAAAAAAAATTGCTTTAAAATCTCTGTATTTTCCAAAGAAAATACAAAAGATAATAACATTTTATAAGTGAAAAAAGCCCAATAAACAGATACCTAAATGATTTTATATTTAATACACATAAATGACTGAAATTTTTTTTCATGAATACTGACCAAACAAAACACACACACACACCAGCAACTTCAAGAACAAGAGGACACAGATTCAAGCTAAGGAAACAAAGGTGCAGAGCGTTATATAACAAAAAATGTTGGGAAGACAGGACATCATGAGTGTAGCTCTCATCCTGTAACAACACTTAGGTAATTTACACACACTAACAGAATTCTCAATACAAACAAAACATTTTATTTCATGTGTAAGAGATCTATTTTGGGTCTGTTTCTTGAGCTTTTTTCACTGCCAATTTATTATGTAATAATGATGGGCTGACTGCTATGCACCAAACTTCTCAATAACCTTTCAATAAATTATAAAAGGAAGGCTTCTTAATCTCCATCTCCAATCTTTCATATCATAGGAAAATACATGATATTATTATCCACGCTCAAATATATTGTTGGCCACCGAAAGTTATATACAATTCTTCAGTCGTCCCTCATTTCCAGCAGTCAGTCACCAACCATCACAAAACCACCATTGTAACAGTAGCATGGATATTAGCTAAAATTTTACACTCAGTTTTGTTATTTGTGAAGTGATTAATGAATTTAAGTTTTTCAATATCCAAGTTTCACTTTATGCATACACAAATGACATGTTAGTTTTGTAATCTTATTACTCACACGAAACAAGATCTTAAGTTTTAATGAGGTGCACAACTTGCTCAAAGAAATTTATTCTCATACTGCTTCTTGTTACAATGGTGGTGGTGCGAGTATATCAATAATTTTGGTGATGTGGTAGTTACAGCTTGGCTGCAGCCACCAAGTTCATGGTTGCCTGAGCTTTATCATCACTATGTAAAGCACTGTAGTCATACCTGGTAGTGTTTGTGTGACTGTAGGGGGTCACCAAGGAGTTTGTGGATCTTGGGATACTTCACGTCTTTTACTGTATTTAGCTGTTTCCTGAACATACAATATTTTTGCTATTAAAAATGTATTGTTGCACATGCATACAAAATAAAAAGATAATCTTTTTACTTTCTGTCTATATATCTTGTACAAGAGACGTATAAATATTTTATTTAATTGGCAACTTCATAAATTTCCCTGACATCCACATCTCCTACGATCCCTGTGTGTGGTTGTAGCTGGCACATCACTGTTCACCTTATGTACTAATGCTGTAATGGCTAATCTTCTCTGCATATTTCTCAGTGTAAATATGCAAGAAGTACATCATTGGAAATGTATAATTATTTATTAATATTATGTTGTAAGTTGTGTTCTTGTTCCATATTGTACTGTATATAATGTAAATACAAATAAATATTATTCATAAGTTATAAGACATCAAATCTATTATATTATCAGGGCTTCTAAGTCTAAAAATCTTAATATCCTCGGCTTGTCTTAAAGACGTGATTAGGTCATGCTAAAATTTAAATTCCAGCTGACGAGAAAGGTATACATTTATACCTAAAAAATATATATCCTTATATAATCTTAGAAGCCTGGTATGTTTTTTTATAATATTGTCATCAATGAAAAAACTAAAAATCTACATTAACTTTGTGTTTTCTTAAATTATCCTACCACTATTATGATGTACACTAGTTATATACATGTATTTCAAAGCAGTTTCTATCTTGGGTAGTAAATATAATTCATTATACATTTACCCAAATACCTGAATTTATTTATTTTGCCTAAGTATACATTATGCTAATAATTATAATGCATGTACAGGATAATGAAATGTAAAATGAAGTAACTTATTTAAGTATACTGTAATTGTTAGGTATAATTTTATAATTGCTTAAGAATTCAATGATATTAAAAGATAATATAAAAGATTGCTGCATACAAGATTTAATGTTTAATGATTTAACGTCATCGTCTCTTCAATTTCTAGTGTGTGGTTTGGTCAACAAGATTTAATGTTATTACAAAAATAAATTGAGTGAATGTAATGAAATACCCTTTACTGGTGGACTCTCAGTAGCTTTGTGGGGTTCACATGCTGGTTTGGCCAAGCTTTAAGAAGTGCCCAAGGTCTGTGATAACCCCTTCCCCCTTGCAAAATGATATTTTTGCTAATATTAAAGGAAAATTCATTGGCTACAAATCATTAATGAAACATGTTTCATTCTGCATTTATCATGTTAAGGATGATCTGTAGTGCAGTATGCTCACACCAGCGTAAACTAGAATTTGATTCCTGGTCACGGCAATACATTTGAGCACATATTCTTTTACTTCATGCCCTTATTCATCTAGCAGTAAACAGGTCCCCGAGGGTTAGGCAACTGTTATGGGTTGCATCCTGGGCATGCTCAAGGTCAGTCATTGGTCTAGGAGGACCATTGGTCTAGGATATGCCTAGCAGACTTCATGTCCCTTGACAATAGGAGCCCATGCCTGAATTGTGACATTAAGAAAAAGTACAGTTCTTGCCACTATTGAGACTTTGCAAATATAATTGATGTAAGAGTAGAAGAGAATATGTACTAAAACTGATCCCTTGGGTAATGCTGGATTGCTAAATTCGATGATTTTTAGTTATTATCAAAGGTTGATAATATTGCATTATTAAAGGATACAAAATTTCTTGTCTATTAAACAGTCACACTAGTTTAGAAACGTGTATCAAATGATTGATAGTCAAATGCTCTACACAGGCCTAGAAAGTCTGCTACATTATTATGGTTTTACTGTGGTCAAAACCACTTGAAACATCCTAGCAGTATTTTATTATGGCTGTTTCTTTGTTCCTCTCTTTTTGGAAGCCATATTGATCATGTGATGGTAACTTGTTACTTAAGTGATTAATAAGTCTATTTAGATACTGTAACTTTCTATAATATGTTACTGACTGTTGAGAGGACAGACACTGATCAATAATTAATTACATAAATCATTATTTTTGAAACTTTGTATAAAAAAAAGAAGCCTGCCTTGTGGCACTGATATACCTGTACTGTAATGCAGAAAAAACTAATACATAGTTCAATCATCATTAGCTTTAATAATTGCTAATGATATATTATTACCACGGGTCAGAGCAGGTTATAAAGGGGAAATGATTTTCTACTGGTTGCTATTACCTTCCATTTTGCTTTACTGATCATCATCAACTGATCAAGATCCATTCTTCTGTCTGTAATTGCCTTTATTTGCTCCCTTAACTATTTTATTAAGACTACTACTCTACAGTCTGAATTGTGCTCCATAAATGTTGGGCCTCATCTCTCTCTGATACTGTAATTGAACTCCTTATTCAAGGTTTATGGTCGTATCTCTTTCAGATAACCTTAATAACCACAGGATACTAAGAGTTGTACAAATTATACACTAATTGGTTGTATCTGGTAAATGCCTTATTGATATCTGAAAGAGGACTGCAATGGTTCCTGGTTGCTATCAAGAAGAGAACAAAACAAGGCATCGTTTTTCATGCCGACTAGTTTGAATGTTATGGTGTCATTTTTCTAGGTGGAGTTTGTACAAGTGGATTGATTTTTTCTTACTGTATATTAATCATTAATATCAATAAAAATTAACTTCATTTCACTGAAATTAAAAATAAGAAAATTTATTATTAACGTTATGTGTGAATATAAGCTATATTTAATTATGTGAATATAAGCTAAAGAGGGTGTTAAGCAAAACACTATCAAACTAGCAGCACAATTTTAATGATTAACGGACAGCACAGAGGAAATCATAATATTCTTCATTGTAAGTCATTACCATATGCATTTGAATTCTCTGCTCCATGGTTTATTTATGACCATAATATTGTAATTTACCAAAGCATGAAATTCCAACCACTTACATACTACAAAACTTTCACCTCAGATTAATGCAAGACTGGTATGACAAAGTAAACTTGAGGTTATCGTGAGATGGTTTTGGGGCTTAGCGTCTCCGCAGCCCGGTCCTCGACCAGGTCTCCGTTTTGTTACACACTCCCCAGGAAGCAGCCCGTAGCAGCTGGCAAACTCCCAGGTACCTATTTACTGCTAGGTAACAGGGGCATCAGGGTGAAAGAAACTCTGCTTTCACCTCCACTGGGAATCGAACCCGGAACCTCAGGACTACGAATTCGAAGTGCTTTCCACTTAGCTGTCAGGCCCTTGATAACAATGTAACTGTAACAATGACAAACTTTTCCACAGCATCTCATTCTAGTCTTCTTTAACTTTATTTCACTTTCTTCCAAAAAACAATTTTGCCTATTTTGATACCAATCACTTTCAGAAATACCACAGCGAAACTAGTGAGGAGCTGCCATCTTTTAATGGATTTTCTGGTAATTTCTATTTTCAAACCAACTTCAGTGACATTTGAGAAGATATATATATAGGCATTTTGTAGGTTTTGGGATTTTTCTCTGAAGTCCTTGCACTTGCTAATGGCACTTGCAACAGTCCACTTTGAATTCCCCCCAAAAAGCTAACCACAAGACAACAACCCTCCAGTGGCTGAGATGATAATCAGAGAATATAATCTCTTCCATTTGTATGGCATAACCTTATGGTCAGGTGTTACCGTAACAGAGTTCACTAGAGGGTGTAAAATGCTGGAAGTTCTACATCAAATTTAGATTTCGATGCAAAGCTATACGGCACTTTTATTTTTTAGATGTGTCAAGAAATAACTCAAGTGAGTAAGGAAGTTGTACAAGTTAATTGTGAGAGTGGTACCGGGAAAATGATTTAACTGAAAGCATGTAAAACTTAATTTATTTTAATAAATTAGTGTTAACTCTAATACACACGGGTTCATTACATTAATAGAAAGTTTCACCATCAAAACTAAGCAATAGAGAACGTTTCTCTTCTCTTGCAAAGCACAGTGATCTAACTGAAATACTTGTGAAAAACTCTCTTTACACTAGCAGACAAGGCTGAGTGACTGGTGTTTCACTGTACACTGTGTATTGTTTGACATTTGACACAAATGTCAAACAATACACATGTATGCACAGTGATGATAATCTTATCTCAACACAAACATGAATCGTACACAACAATAATAATTCCTGTAAAAGCTAGCACATAACATGAAACACAATATTATGGAAATGGTCCTCAGACCAGGACTAGCACATAGAAAATACACAATACAGTAATCTATACTGAGTACTAACGAGTCCACAGATTCCGTTCAGTGTCAAACAACACTCAACAACTGAACACTGAGGTCATAAATTACCATTATTATGATGATCTAATGAAGTAACATAACTTAGCTGACAGGCATTACAATACAGGCTAATGACAGTCTGGAGTACCTCCTTACCTCGGTCGTCAGACTACAAGCCTATACGAACATGATGGCCAATTCCTAAGAATCAAACACAAGTTAACATAGACAAATGATAGCATACTCATATGTAAGGTCGACCTTCCGCTTTCCCCCAGTGACATTCACACACAATCTTTCACACCTTGTTAGCTGATGACGACTGCCCTTTCTTTCCAAGTGTGTCAACACATCCCTTCGGCGATGAGTGGTGTTCCCATTATTGGTAATGACACAACCAAATAATGGCCGCAGGTGACCTGCGTATTTCTTTTTGTCACGTGACAAGCACTAAATATAGACAAGCACATGTGATGAGTAATCAAAGTGATTATGCAGGTGATGCAGCCTTCATGATCTTCCCATCAGTTTACATACACACACACACACACACACATACAGAGGAACCTCGTGTGGAGAGCAGCCCCATCTACAAGCATTTCAGGTAATGAGCGAGCCACTCGCAGAAAATTTGTCTCAAGTGACAAGCTTCCGCTCAATTAATGAGAAAACCATGTGGTGCTCCCTAGCGTTCCCGCTGGTTCTCACAAATTCTCGAACACCTTCGACGACAGTGTTGTTTTATCGCGCAAGACAAGCATCCCTCGGCATTTATTTGCACTTTTCTTTGTTTTGTGGTTTTGTTACCTTGGTTACCTTGAGGTGCTTCCGGGGCTTAGTGTCCCCGCGGCCCGGTCATCGACCAGGCCTCCTGGTTGCTGGACTGATCAACCAGGCTGTTAGACGCGGCTGCTCGCAGCCTGACATATGAGTCACAGCCTGGTTGATCAGGTATCCTTTGGAGGTGCTTATCCAGTTCTCTCTTGAACACTGTGAGGGGTCGGCCAGTTATGCCCCTTATGTGTAGTGGAAGCGTGTTGAACAGTCTCGGGCCTCTGATGTTGACAGAGTTCTCTCTCAGAGTACCTGTTGTGCCTACAATTTGTAACCCACGATGTCACCAAAGAAGCTGCTTGCTAAAGATAGTGTTGTCAAGAGGAAGAAAGACACAATTACTGTAGATTTGAAGAAGGATATCGCCTGACTCGGAGGTAGATTCTCCTTCCACACAGTAACCCCTCTCCTCCCCACCTCCCCATCGTCTCCCTCAAGCCAGCAACGACTTTTCATAAGGTAAAGTACAATTGAAACATTAAAACAAAACATTTATAATAATTATATGTATTATAATTACATTATATAATTTCATATTGATATTTTTTCAGGAGTGGAACATTAAATTTATTTCCATTATTTTAAATGGGGAAATTCACTTCGCAAGACAAGCGTTTCACGTGACGAGCTCGATGCCGGAACAGATGAAATTCGGTAATCGAGGCTCCTCTGTATATATAAACACACACATACATACAGTATATGCATCAAGCTTGAATGGTCTCCAAGCCAACATGCATCAGGAAACTCTTGATCCTCTGAAGGATTTGAACCGGGTCAGCCAGGGCCTCTATGGCCCTTGACGTGTCCGATACTATAGCCACTCAGCCAACAGACAGTACAAAAGTATTGGAAAGTCATCTGACTTTTAACCCCAATACCCAACAACGCTCATGACTATTTTGGGCACAGATATTATTCTGTGACCCAGTAGAAGGAAGAGTAATAATTTTTAATTAATTATATTATTATTATGATAATAATTAGAATAATAATTGTTGTAATTAATAATTATTACTCATCCTTCTGCTGGGCCATGAAGGAAGCTGGCCTCGAGTGAATGGTGGGCTGTGACGATCTGTCTGGAACCTGTAGGTGCAGGGATTGGACATTCACCTCCTGGGGCACATGCGGCCCAAGCTCTGCTTCAGGAGGCTGGGGTCGTTCATGCCCTTGCTGAGGTGGTTCTTCTCTGGTCCCGACCACGACAGTCTCCAGGTTTGGAGTCCCTGTGCCTTCTTTCACCAACTTCCAGGTAAACTCCTGAGCTGGAGCCCCTAGGGCTGTTCGTTGTTGCTTCCAACCTTGTTCTAACCGTTCCTGCGACGGTGCTGGAACCAATCGCATTGGCGTTTGCCTTTCCATTGGAGACTTTCGGCGCCGTGGAGAGGAGGGGGACCTGCTGCATGAGGTGACTGCTTTTTTCCTGTATCAACCTACCCTGGCTTTACGCCCTGGAGAGGCTACTCCAGACCGACAACCAGAGTGCAACTCCATGGTCTCCTGAGACTGATGGATGCCTAATACTACCACTGTATAAATACACATGCTAGGCATAAGAGGGTTTTCCAAGATCTCAGGAAGCATTCCCAGAGTTGAAGATCACAAAAGGAGTAAAAGATTAATACCCTGTATATGAAAGGCAGGACAGTGGAGAAATGGCAAGCTGTATATAGGTCAAATATAAACATATACCAAATAAAAATACTTTGTAGTGAATGAGAGATTATGACAACTGAAGAACCAATGTGCGCTGACCCTCTTCATATACCAGACAGTCAACGCATGAAGGCCTTCATACAAATGCCGAAGAATCAACACACACAATGCTCTCATACAAATACGTACCAGTGAATGTATTGAGATATGAGAGAGGTGTGAAAATCATATATATTAAGGGAGAAGAAATAAAAACTATTTGAGATATACCACATATATGGAGTAAAAATTGTTGCATTGTTTGCTGCAACATCTAAGATACAAATTGATGGATCAAACAATTTTGAAAGCAAATGCAATATTCAAAGAATAAATACCATGCATTATCACATAAAATATATGACTAGACTACATATACATACTATGAAATTAAGTTATAAAATATGATATTTATAAACAACAACACTCCAATACAGTATATACAGCCTAAAATCTTATAAATCTAGAAACTTAGGAAAATTATGTGTTGATATTTTAAACTCATTAAAGAACATTTCACATGTAATGTGATTTTTTTTTATAATAAACCTACCAATTGTATAATGAAATCATTTAATTGTCACCCTTTTAATGAAAGACTAACAACCAGCTTAATTACGATCATATACTTTCAAACGCACTATGTTTTTCCCTCCCATCTCGGACACTGAAATCACATTTGGGATAATGACATCCACTACACCCACATAAAGATAACAACAAATTCTTTTCAAATGCCAATTACACTTGAGATTGTACTAGATTATCCATATTTATTTAAATGTATAATAACAGACTGCAGTATATTCTGTTATTATATTTCAACATGTAGTCTTAAAACACACATTTCATAATATTTCTTTATCATTAAATTGCTGTTCATGACATCTTATCAAATCTATAATTCATGAAAGTTTAACTGGTATATATGCATATATTATATAATATATTATATATAATGTGTATGTATGTATGAATGTATGTACAATATGAGCGTGTTACTTATTTATCAATTAATCATCTCCTGAAGCTGTAAATGGAGTGGGCCTCCACCTGCTCACTACTCACGAAAAGAATACTTCCCTATGATATCCTAACTCATCTAGGCTTCCCATTTTCACTCATATCCTCTTGTTCATTAGATGGAAGTTTGATTGATGTATGTGAGAGAAGACTGCTAAATATGAATAAAGACAAAGGTAAAATAATAATGATGAAAAGTGAAGGGAAGTGTGTCAATTAGAAATAAATGAAGACATCCTAGACGTGTTAATTATTATTAACTGTAATTGACAGAGGAGGAATTTGTGCACATATTGAGAGTGAAGCAAGTCTAGGAATGAATGTGGTCGCTGCAATAACTGCCCTGGTTAGAAAGAATAAGACAAGGTTGCATAGAAAGGCGGTGCCATATAAGCATCGTTGTGAGATACTCATATGGTACAAGTATGAAAAATCAAGAATTAGAGCAGCAGAAATGGATAGCTTGAGCAGCATTTATGGTGTTAGGATAGGCAAAGGTAAATATGAGGAGAGAGCACTAAGCCACATAGGAGGGATATGAAGTCAAGCATCTGGGAAAGGATAAAAAAAAAGGAATTGTGTCCAATCATTTGGACTGCCTACGAAATAAAATATCAATCCATATATGAAGTGCAAGTTGGTAAACTTAACATAAAACTCTAAAATGAGTCAAGATGATTTGATCAAACTGAATTGATGATGATACTGTAGAGCGGTAAGAAATGTGTGTTCAGACTGAATTAGTATGTGTGTGTACACTCAATCCTGAATTAGGATTGAGTGTGAGCAGAACATAAAAAGGCTGGAAATAAGGTTTGGTGGACTCATTATACTAATAGGGAGTTAATGACTGATATTTTAAAATGACTACTCATGTGCATATCATAAGTAGTAAATTAAATTTTCACCCATGGTCACACTCATCACTGATATGCTACTCTGTAGTAGGATGAAAGAAACATTTTCTGTTTAAGAACATGAACAATATTGTGTAGAAAAAGTTATGCTCATGTCGAGAAGAATGTGATCCATTTTGTGAAATATAGATGTAAATCTGCTTTGGTTTGGGATAGACGGATAGATAAATTCTATAGCATATTTGTATATTTGATCAAAAACTATTGCCTTTGCTAAGAAACTTGAGCTTAGATGTAAATAAAGTTTCCTTCAGTATAATGTCTTAAATCATATAACCCAGTCTAGTACCAAGCCATCAAGGATACCTAAAATGTTCATGTACAGCTATCACAATCTCTAGATAATAATCCAAAAGAACACTTAATGTATATAACTGGAAAACAGTTTACTAATGTAAGCTGCATGCAGACAGTAAGTCACAATAAAGCAGCTGAAAATTAGACACCCAATCCACAAATCCAAAAATAAAATAAAATAATTTAAGTTTCAGTCCATCCTGGGCTATTACCAATTCTCCCATTACACGTGATAATGGCGAACAGAAACTTCATCAATGCTTTTACTTTATTTCAGATTTGTTGGGTGTCTAACTGTAAGCTACATAATCACAAAAAATGCTTCGTGTGTGAATGGTCAAATCCTGACAAGTGTCCGAACTCATTAAAAGGCCAAAGGAGGATCAACATTGTAAATATGAAAATATATATCTATATGAAATTTGTGTGCGTGTGTGTGTGGCTGAAGCATACACAAACACAAGCAACAGCAGTAAAAATAAATACCGAGATGCAAGTCTAGCATCAGGATAGAATAAGATATACAAATGTTACAGAAAGATATAGGGTGCAGAAGCCAGTCAATCTTTACACTAAGGTGTGAGCGTACCAACTTGGTTTAGCCTTTTGAAAAAAAATGGATCACGACACACAAATGGTGTAGAGTGTGAATTCAAGTAAATTTGAGGGTCAGAGCCATAGGCCAAAATGTTTGGCAAATTTAGTGAATGTGAAGAATTGCAGACTGAATGTGAAGAGGCGAGAGGTTGAGTGTGAGAATATGAGGGGTTGAGTATGAAAAAGTGAGAGGCAGAGAATGAAGTGAGCACAGAGAGGTAGAGAACAAGACTTGACACTATTGTTAAACGGGAGTGTATATTTGACACTTCTTTTTTTTAATGTAATCTTATGAGAAGCACTTGACACCTAATGTTATTGAGAATTGCTGAGTGTGATTGTGTATGTCCTCTCTGATGTTGAATATGTATGAGGCATATAAATATATACAGTATATCCATATCCTTTATACTGTTCCACCACTGTTGGGCCGTGCTTCCATGAAAATAAGAAAAAGGGTAACAATGAAGATGAGAATAATAATGATGTGGTGTCTAGTGTTCTGAATGATAGCATTATTTTTGGTGTTCGAGTGTTGTGTAGCATGTAGTGGGCACAGTGAACAAGACACGTGGTGTGTATGTGTGTGTGTACAGCACATGCATAGTGTAAATATTACATACACATGATTAATTATCTTCTTTCTCCCCAATAACTGCACTATATTAATGATCTCTTAAGAGACAGGAGGCTATCCTGGCACGGGAGTCAAACACATGCATGCAACACTACAAAATAATAGTATTCCTTATTGAAATCCACATACACGGGGATAAACTTCGATGCAATGAATAACATACTGAATTAAAAATATACAGCCTATAGGCATTATTTCCTCTCCTATTATTAAATTATTATTAAAAATACTAAATGTTGAGTTGGGTCCACTGACAGAATTTGAGATGTCTTCTGAGTATCAACAACACTGTAATGTGGAAAATCTTAACAGCACTGCTTCAGAAAAACATGCATGGTAGGTTATACCCTGCAAAACAGGTGTTGAGGTGTTGCACTACTGATGCTGGTCGAGGGTAAAGGTGCAGACTTCTTTTCTACGCGTTTGTTTCACAGATCAAAGTTGGACACTGTCAGGTGCTGGATATTGTTACGAGCTGAAAGATTAAACAAGATATCATCAGTTCAGTACTCAAAAAATCAAAACACCAAAAAAATATTCTTTAACAACAATTACAGCAATTAAATTTTGTTTACTTGATGGCCTTTATTATTAGAGACTTGGTGAAATTTCTTACATAAACAATAAGGAATAGTACAGTAATTATCAGAATGTGAGAGAGAGAGAGAGAGAGAGAGTAGCACAATGACCCATTAAGCAGCCCAACTGTGACTGCTACTACACAGCATGAATGACAACTTCAGGTTATTTCTGAGAAACATAACAAACATCCTTTTCCCTGGACACTTTCTCCCCTCCCGTGTAAACTTGGATGAGAACCTTACCTTCAAAATAGGTGGTATCCATTGCATCATCTGGCTGAGGGAGAAATGGGGCTTGTATATCCCTCAAGTTGGGCCAATTGATGCAACTAAACAAGGAGCTGGATTTTATAGATTCAAAATTAGCCCGAACTTTTGGATCGTAGGCCAAGAGCTTATCTATTATTTCAACAGCAGCTTCAGAGAGCACCTCATCACCCTCTGGCCAGGGAATATCTGAAGTGACATATCAGAAGTAAGAAAAGATATATCAAATAAGTGAATTTTGTAACTGAAAATTACTTGTTATACAGTATAGTGTAAGTGAAGAAATAAAATTAAAATGTTTTCAGAGGCAGACGAGATGCACACAAATAACTCCCACTCCTGTAACTACAAATACAGTATATCATTACACACACACACACCAAACTAGAAGATAGAAGAAAAAGAGGCGATATGATCACCACTTACAAAATAATAACAGGAATCATTAATTTACACAAGATAAATTAGACTTTGAGAAAGGGAATTATCAGGAGAAAGAGCCAAGCCATTATGACTATATAGCACTAGGAAGGAATCAGCACTTGGGACGGGGTAGAGGAATGTGCCCAACCACTTGGACGATCGGGGATTGAACGCCGACCTGCATGAAGCGAGACAGTCACTCTACCGTCCAGTCCAAGTGGTTGGCAGACTTTGAGAAAGTAACATCTTTCAAAATAGATACTGTACAAAAATTATGCTGAAGGAAATTATAAATTTAGAAATAAACCTAATGTACTAAAAAGGTCTACACAATAAATTAAAAAAAATGAAGGAAGAAAATTAAGTCGGAAGTGACAGGTGGAAAGAGCCAAAATATGAGGAAATAGGTTCATGAAAATGTTATATACTGTACTGTACCACTAACATAGATGGAGTGAATTACAAGACACATGAAATATGTGATGAACTATGGCAGTAAATACCAGATATTGTTACATTATTCAAAACAAAAATAGAGAAGATAAAAATAAATGAGATGGTATTTCCAAGGGGGCTACTTAATTTGGAGACAAGATAGAAAAAGTAGAAAAGGTAGAGATATTGCAGTGCTGGTGAAAGTACATTTAAGCATGAAAGAATTAAGTCTCGATAATCCACGACATGTGGATATTGTAGTACATACTGCCAATTCTCAACCCAGAGAAATAACTAATCATAAATGCCTACAGATCGCCGGCAAGCGAATATAAAGAAAGAAAATTCTATCCGGGTTAGGCTACAAGAATTAATACTTATCTTTTATATGTTCATTTTTCTCAGTCTAAAATTAGCTCTATGATTGAGTAAAGAATCCATTTCTTTTAAAAAATTTGAAGACCTCAGTGGCATGCATATCTAATATTTAAATCTATGAGTTAATCTTATACTAAATGTTACTAGTGATAATTAAACCAATTAAATCTTCAAATTCAATAAAATTGCTAAAGCAACAAACTGATTTGTTACCTCGATGAAGGATATTATGAAACACAGCCTCTGGAGTTTCGTCATTGAAAGGTGGGACACCAGTCATAAATTCAAAGAGGCACACTCCCAAAGCCCACCAGTCCACTGCTGGCCCTGACATTGAGGAAGAAACATATTAAAACTTCAAATAAAAATGTCAGTTCCCCAAAACCATTATGCTTTCGGTGAACATCAAAAGATAATTTCTTTTAGCAGGATATCAGGATGCTTCCAAAGGTTTAACCACAATTCTCCCATACTAATGGATCAAGACAGTCAGGAAAGGGTAGATTCTATAATGACACAAAGATTTTTGTATATTAAATCCTATCTGGTTATACAGCACTGGTATACAGAAGGCACTAGAAAAACCCCAGCGTTGAATGTAATGAAACGCCAATTTCTGGGTGAGACCCGGAGACTGCCCGGAGTTATACTGGGCTGATGGGCTATAGCTATATTGGGACACAGCCCGGAGCTATACTGGGCTATACTGGACACAAAACATGATGCACCCCTGGCCGAACCAACCAAGCATCAACAACCCAAGGACCCCTCTGGAAAGCAACAGTCTCATTTTTCACCAGAAAAGAAGGTGATGGCTGCAAACGAACAAAACGACCACCAGGACCGAAAGAGCAGAAACTCCTGTGCTGGAGGAGAGCATGATCCTCCCCGACCCAACCCCTAGATGTCTGCCAACAAGAAAAAAGCATTAGAAAAACAGTCCTGAACCAAAGGGGCCACCACAAACTGAAAAGAAGAGAAAAGAGAGCACCTGGTCCAATGACCAGGACGACTCGGGCGGTGCATGAGCAGGCCGGAGGTGAAACAACACCCGAGAAAGCTTGTGGAATGGAGCAGAAGTGACATCCACCCCAAACGCAAGCCATAGTGGCTCCACCAGCGCCGCACGATACGAGGTGACAGTATTCAGCATAAGACAACAGTCCAGAAATAACCAAGAGAGAGAAAGTACAAAACAACCTGATCAGAAATTGAAGACAACCTACGAAGAATCAAGAAGTGCCAAAAGGACTGCTAAGAAACTTCATACTACCGCCGAGACGACACTCTAAGGTGGGACACCATCAACGAAGCCACCTGATCACCATACAAGTATAAACCCACGTCAAAAAGACCAGATGCAAAGATCGTATGAGAAGATCAAACCAGCCATGTACTGGACCGGACACAAGCTATAAATTATGTCAGAAATCTTGAAAGAATTCCGATAAAGAAAGAGATCTAATGGTGGTTCTAGATAAACTATCACCTGAGGACCACATAAAGAACATCGTGCAAGGAGCCTATGCTGCACTTTCTAATTTTAGAATTGCTTTAAATATATGGATGGCAAAATGCTAAAGAAATTGCTTACTACTTTTGTTAGGCCAATGCTGGAATATGCAGCAGTTGTATGGTGCCCATATCTTAAGCACATCAACAAACCGGAAAAGGTGCAAAGACATGCAACTAAATGGCTCCCAGAACTGAAGGACAAGAACTATGAGGAGAGGTTAGAGGCATTAAATATGCCAAAACTAGAAGATAGACGAAAAAAAGGCGATACGATCACTACGTACAAAATAGTAACGGGAATCAATAAAATTGATAGGGAAGAATTCCTGAGACCTGGAACTTCAAGAACAAGAGGTCATAGATTTAAACTAATTAAACAAATCTGCCAAAGAAATATAAGAAAATTCACTTTCACAAACAGAGTGGTAGATGGTTGGAACAAGTTAGGCAAGAAGGTGGTGGAGGCCAAAACAGTCAGTAGTTTCAAAGCGTTATATGACAGAGTGCTGGGAAGACGGGACATTTCGTGCGTAGCTCTCATCTTGTAACTATACTTAGGTAATTACACTTGTGAAAAGACCCAGGTTCACCACATGGCTGAACAGATGTGCTCAGTATGTTTTTTCACCTGATGCCTCTGTTCATATAGCAGTAAATACCTAGGTATGAGGAGTTAGGCATCCAGGGGTAGAATCCGCCGTTGACTTAGGGAACCACAATTAGCTTAACAGGCTTCATGTCCCCAACAGTGAGAAATATTTAAGAATGCCTTAACTCACCATGTCCAAGATGTAACAGAAGTTCAGGTGCTAAATAGTCTGGAGTACCCAGAATTCGAGACTCTGTGCCAGCTGGGTGTGCTCCTCTTCTGACACTTTTGGGAGCACGTAGTGGAGTCTGACCACGGTCCTGAAGTGGCGTGCTGGGCACACTCTGTAAATATAGCCAGATTTATTACAAACACAGAATATCCCACCCTCATCAAATTTATAAATTATGTCTAGCTGCTATGAAAACACTACAAAAATTGTTACTGTAACCTGTATTATTAAACCACAGCCAACATGTTTCATAATTTTCTCAGTCTATGTCATAAGAACTTATGACATAGATGATAAACAATGGATAACAAATACACTACAAGAAACAGATGAGCAAAGGCCTGCTTTTGTAAAATAATTGTTGCTGCCATCTATGAAAACAGCTAAAATCTACAAACAAATCTTTTAATTCCTTGTGTTGTGGGGGGGGGGGCAAAAGCCAGAGTGTATTCATACACATTAGGCTTTTATCGAGTCCCTTCCCCACCCCCGGGTCAAATTACTGATCCCGCCCAGATTGCAACCCTACAACAAAGTGACAAACTCCTGAGTACCTATGCAGGCGATGAGTCACAATAACGTGGCTAAAGTATGTTGACCAGACCACACACTAGAAGGTGAAGGGACGACGACGTTTCGGTCTGTCCTGGACCATTCTCAAGTCGATTGTGACTATTCTCACAATCGACTTGAGAATGGTCCAGGACGAACCGAACCGTCGTCGTCCCTTCACCTTCTGGTGTGTGGTTTGGTCAACTCCTGAGTACCTACTTACTGCTACATGAACAGAGACATTAAGTGAAAGGAAATGTGCCCAATCATTTCTGTCCCGCCTGGGATTCAAACCTGGAATTCTCGATTGTGTATAGAGAACGAACTCAACTGTACTACGAGGATCCTCAGATGAAATGAAAACACTAATGTTTTGGTCTATGAATACTTGTTGAAAATACATCAAAAATAAGAAAATAAATAAATAAATAAACTTGTTTGATATTATATTCATTTTTAATATTATATTTTTCATTTCATATGAATTAACCTAACTATTACAAAAGTTGATACATGACAAGCACAGCAAATTGCGACTGTCCAACAGGTCTGCCTTACTGAAGCTGAAAGATTACAAATGAATCAAACTTATGACAGCAATATTAAAAAGTCTGCAGCTGCTGTGTCAATAACATGTCTTTGCCAATGTATGCAAGAATTCAGTTATCTGAAGAGCAATAAGCAAACAACACTGATTAGAATACAAACAAAATCAAATACATAACAGAAATTTGGCTACATACACAAGTATCTAAACTCACAGGTATTCTACCGGGAGTATGGTAACTGAAGAACAGCTGTGAATGGTGACTGTTTAATGAGTCGTTAACAGTAGTAGTTGGGTTGTCCTTCTCTGACATGTCATTACTCATGTCACTTTCACTGTACCATCTCACTAACTGCAACATCAAAGAAAATGGGTTATAGGTTGGTTGGTTGAAAATCACTTCAGCTGATCAATAGAGGTATCTCCAGATGGTTATCTCTCAGGGTGCAAAGAATACTGTAATGGGTACTGTAATGAAGACAAGGCAAAGGATGAGGTGGTATTAGCAGTAATAATAATAATGGTGGTGGTTGATGTGGTACAACCTGTCCTCTCAAATAATACATTGTATTTTGATGTAAAAAAAAAAAAAGTCAAAATATAATGTAGAGTACTATAAATCATAGCGGCTAGCTAAATGGATGGGTTATTACATTTTTTTATTCATGGGTCCTTGGTTAGGTTAGGGTAAGTTCAGGCAGTTCAGCATACAGTGGTACCTCGGAATGCGAGTGTCCCTGTATGCGAGTTTTTCGGAAGACGAGCAGGATTTACTCCAAAAATATGTCTCGGAAGGCGAGGGTTACCTCGGGACGCGAGTTTGTTGATACGTGTACAGGCCGACTGGCGCGTGGTGGCATGGCGATCGCGCCTCAGTTTACCAGTGTCTCGTGTCCAGTGACTATCCCACCTGAATTCTTCACAAGGATTTACAGTTTTTTGGCCATTTGAGCATAAAAGTTGTCATTATATATCTTGCCATGGGTCTCAAGAAAGCCATTGATAAGGTTCAACCTAAGAAAATAGCTGTGAGTAGAGGCAGTAGAGGATGTCCCTTCTTGATTAAGAAAATGTGTGAAGTATGGGAAGAACTGCAAAGTTTTGTTGAAAAAACTCACCCAGATAAAGCTGTAGCAGGCCGTTGCATTGACCTTTTAAATGATAATGTGATGTCTTACTACAGACAAGTGTTAAAATGTAGGGAAAAACAAGTGTCATTAGATAAATTCTTAGTAAAACAAGCAAGTCCTAGTGGTATGCAGGCAAAATGTGCCAGTGTGTGCATACCAGTGAAGTCCTCACTGACTGATGTGATAATGGAAGGGGACTCCCCTTCCAAACAGTAACTCCTCTCTTCCTCCCACCTCCTCACCATCTTCCATACGCCTACAGCATTCAACAACAATGTAAGTAATAACTTGAACATAGTTTTGTAGGTTTATTTAGATGAATTAGGTATAAAAATTTAGTTTGATGTGGGGTTTTTGGGGTAGTCAGGAACGGATTAATTCATTTCCCTTTATTTCTTATGGGGAAATTAGCTTCGGAATGCGAGTTTTCGGAATACGAGGCGTCTCCAGGAACCAATTAAACTCTTAAACTGAGGTATGCCTGTATCTTTTTTTTGTGACGCTGTGACAATTCGAGAGGATGTGCTGAGTGGTGACGGTAGTAGTCCCAAATAAAGATGGTAGTGGTAGGGAGGAAGAGGGACAGGAAGGCCTATCAGATGACTATGTTTACATTATCTATGTGTGGTTGTTATGTATATTTTACGATATATAAAGATTGTCAAAATCTGGGCAGGTCATATTACAAATAAATACATATATGTTGCATTATACAACTTTAAGTAAGCCTATACACAATCTGAAACAATTCTTAACCCTTAGACTACTGGAAAGGGTCTAAGGGTTAAGAATTGTTTCAGATAAGAATATAAGAATATATTATAAGAATATTATAAGAATAAAAGAACTATTTGCTGTCCGTTAAGCAAGTCATTCTTTCCAACAGAGCCTTGCTACTTCCAGCCAGGATTAGAACATTCTTAATACCTTCATCAGCCGGAATCTTTACAAACTTACCCACAAAACCATAAAAGGAATGGACTGGTGGATTCTTAATCCCAATCTGAATGACAAGTCAGATGGTATATTCCACTACTCAACAAAACTTTATCAAGAAATGGCAAGTAAATATTTGCTCATGCAACTACCAGTTGTCCACACCTGGCCACTGTTGCTACACAGAAGCACATAATAGGCTCAACAATTGGAATGCAGGGGGGCTTTTTAGATTAATGCTGTATAATAGTGGTAAACTACAATGTGTAAATCACCTCTATTTGAATGGAGAGATTCATATTAGAATCTTCCACAGCAACCAAAGTTCCAATGCAGCTGACATTTTCTACTTTTATATTTTACACTGAACACTTCAGTATTTATTATTGACAATAGAACACTATTTCATATCTCTTTATACCAAAATCATATGGGAGACATACTTTATTAATATTTCATATATCTTATGTTACGTACTTCTGCGTCGAAATCCAATCCAGGTAATATTAGCATGAGACCATCACCACCAAAAGTATTCTGTTATTTTTCATTGCAACCAAATATAACAATACTACTACAATAGTGCTGGAGAGAAACCTTTCTGTTGCATGTGGCATACCAGGTGCTATTCAAGCAGGAATCTTCTGCATTAGAATTTGTTTATTAGTGCTAATATTTTACCACTATTAGTAGTGTTCAGCTAAAAGAGCCAGGTGCATTCCTGAAGTGACAATGAAAATTTTGATACTTCTAAGATTGGTGGGATCTAAGACTCAAGAAATACTGAAGATCTTCATTACAGTGGAATTGTTCCTGAAAAACAATCATAAAACCACCTTGAAGCTATAACAGCTATCACCTATATTTCTTATAAGTTACATTGCAGCTAATGTAAGCAGCTCACATAGTCACAGGTTCAACGAGATTAAAGATAAATAGGTACTATATTCTGAAAGCAAGAACAGTGAGATTCGGAAAGCAAAGGGGAAGGAGATAAAATTTTAATAAGCATATAGAACACTGATAAGAAAATAGCATATTTTGGCATTCTTGGTTTGAAGACATAAATGACAGGGTGTTAAAATAGTGATAAAATTTAAGAAACTGTAGTCCAAATCTCTAGTCTTTCTTACCTTATTAGTTGTGTCATTAACTTGGGTGTCATTAGATGGAAAGAAAACTTCTTCACTCCCATCCAAATCAGTTTTGACATTGTTCACACATGAACTTGGTCTTTTATTTTCACTGCAAATAATTAAATAATGTATAGTAATAGCCATTGTTTCTTAAGTGTCTTAATTTTAAATGTCCTCATGTATTTTACATCACACTATAAACTATACCTCAGCCATTCATATATGAATATTACATATTAAGAACCCAAGTCCCCAGAGCTGTGCTTCTCTAACTTCTAATTTTAACAAAGATATCTTTGCTAACATGCATTTCTTAAATGTTTAATATGTTCATGTTAACCAAATATTCCTTCATCTATGCAAATTTTCTATCAGATGTATTTATGTCATATTTACTGAAGAAGTCACTTGCTTGCTACCAAATGTAAGGAACCTCATGGAAGATATGAAGCTGATGAGAGGGATTATGACACAAGACAATTTCGTGATAATACAGGAGGACTTGATCAACCAGGCTGTGATTCATATGTTGGATTGAGAGCAGCAATGTTAAATATGTTGGTTGACCAGACTACCACCCAGGAGACCTGGTCAGAGACCAAACTGCATGGACATTGATTACTGGAACCATCACAATGTAGGCACAAGGTAGGGAGGAGGGACCTAAACAAGCTATAAGCATGGTCAAATAAATGGCTACTAAAATTCAATCCCAACATGTGTAAGTTACATTGGTAAAGTAATATAGTTGGGAGTGGGGATAGGAGACCAGGACAGTACATAATAAGGAAACATAAATAATATGACGGTACATAATAAGGAAATCAGAAATATTGAACCAGGGAGGGAATTATTAGGGGACTGCCAAGCTATTACGACTATATAGCACTTGGAAGGGATCAGGATAAGGATTTGGGATGGGAAGAGGGGAAAGGAATGGTGCCCAACCACTAGGACGGTCGGAAATTAAGTGCCGACCTGCATGAGGCAAGATCCTCGCTCTATCGTCCAGCCCAAATGGAATTGGGGGTGGACAAAATGACATGATCAACGCCTGTGGCATCATATGTAAAATGAGTAAACATAAGAATAGCATTTACAAACGTAAGCAAAGGCATCATGCAAAACATAATACACAGCCTATGTCAAGTCAGACCTAGAATAGGTAGTGGAATATTAAGTTTATACAACACACAAACACAATAGAAAAGGTCCAAAAATTTGCTGAGATAAGAGAAATGAGTTATGAAAATAGATTAAGTAAGTACAGTAAGTAATTATCAAAGAAGGCATCAAACCGGGAAGGCTATGTAGCAGAAGATAGATTAAAAGAATCCAGTCTAACCCCATGAGAAGGAAAACAATAATCAGAGGTGATGTGATAATAACATGTAAGATATCATTAGGAATAAGTGAACTGGAAAGAGAGAGAGAGTATTTTTTAGTTGAAAGTAGCACAGTATGGTGACAGAATCTAAAACTGGAACACAAATGAGTCTGAGAAACAAAAGGAAATTCTTATATTGTATTTAGTGAGGGGTGCTAAACAAATGCTTCAACTAGAAATTTCAAAAGCCATCTCAATCCACAGCTTCAAGAGCAAATATGAGAGCATTGGAACTTCAGACAATATGATAGTCTCAGGCTCAATGGCTGGGAGGCAGGGTCCAAGATCTCACTACCCAGATAGTTAGGTAAACACAGTATTATAGGTGAACACAGGCAAAAATAGAACGAGAGGAACAGGTGAAAGTTGAAAACACCAGTAAGTTAGTTGTGTGGATGTTGCGGAAGCCATCTCCAATCACAGCTTTAATAGATGGTACAACAGAATACCCAAACATCAGGAGGAATAAATGCACCATGTACCCAATAACTAGGAAGCCAAGCAAGAGAGATAGACTTCCCTCTCTGCCAGCAGCTAGGTTAGTACACTTACGACACTTCAATGTTTACTTCCAACCATTCATTAAAAATCTCATACACTCACACATTCTCTTTATTCTTTAGTCTATATGGCCCCCTAACTGCATTCAAAACATATTTGCATCTATAGAAATGCATGAAGAGCCTTAATACAGTATATATTTTCATTAACATATTTAATAGTTTTATATTTTTATGATATATTTTGTACACTCTGCTCTTATGATAAAAAGAATTATGGTAGTTCATTTTTCCAGTTCATCTGTTTTTCCTTACCTGAACAACTTGTCTTGTCTTTATCTTAAGACTGATTTATGATAGTGTTTACACATTCATACAGAATCCTACAATACACCTCATCAGTCATACACATAACATGTACTGTTTTTGATTTCTCGTATGCTCTCTTACGTTGTTTTCATAAGAGGTAGAATATCCCTGCTACTTTCATCCAGTAATAAACTTTCAAAATTAGCCAAAAAATACTCTATATTTATTAAACTGATTTATATCTCATAGAAAACAAATTAACGTACTTGTTTTCCTTGTCATTAGTTGAATTCCAATACGTGTTACTTTGGTCATGAAATGTGATGTGGCATGGGCTTCTTTTTATGTTTCTTCGTTTAGGAATTTGACCGGTAACCTGCAACACTCCAAAGGTTCCTGTAAGGCTTGTAGTCAAATTGCTTCTTACAACATTGGTGGGAGGGCTTGTAGTGGTTGAACCTATAGCACGCTTGATGCCTCTTGTCTGTGTTGGCATCTTGAAATTTCCAGACTCCTGAAAGGTACTGATGGTAGACTGATTTCCTTCTATGAAGTTAAAACATTCTTCTAATCTAGTGCTTTCTTTTTTGTCATATATAACATGATTTGACAAATCAGACAAAGGAAATTCAGACATATGCCCAAAGTTGGGGACATCTTGATTGGATGAATGTAAACGGCTTTCAGATGACTTCTGGGGTTCAGTTGTTGATAGCTTGCACTTCAGCACTGCTGAACATCCTACAATATTTTCATTAGAGATGTCTACCTCTTCACTTCTTACAAAATTGGGTGGAATTGGTGAACTTGTGGCTATATCTCTGGAGAATACAGCCCCTGACAAAGTAGACAAATCAAAAGTTGGGTGTCCCACGGGTGACATGTTATGAGCAAGCTGAGATAAAGCTTGTAATCTCGGGTGACACTTATTGGTGACCGTAACATTGGTATCTTCTAATTCTTCAGACGGAGCAAGCTCTTTTGGTACAACATTATTGAAGACATCTGAACTTTCAATTTCACTAGAAATTACATCTTCTGGGAACACATCACTGTGTTCAGTGGAAGTACGAATCCGTTTTCCGACGACGGGCCCAAGCATACTTTCATTATCGTAAGTGGTGCAGTCTACTTCTGATTCTTCAGTTTTCCCTTCCCGATTACCCATGAACTTACAGTCCTCATCGTAGTTTCTGTTGTTATTCTGAGAATTCAAATCAGAATTTTGGTTGGTATTGTGCATATAGTAGTCAGTCTCTTTATTTGGGTTAATATCTAAAGTTTTTGAAGCCAGTATTGGTGAATGTGGAACTGGCATAGTACCTATGCTATTATTGTTTGTTGAACATTTCTTGGGGGAACTGGTACTAATATTTGATGAATCTGAGGACTGCAGATCACCAGACATCTCTTCCTTGATTTCATCAAGACTGTTGTCTCTTGATGCATAAGTAGGCAAGGGGTGAATGCCACTCTCATGTCCATCACTGGATAGGGAAACATCAAAGTCACTAGAAAGATCGCCATCTCTTGGGGAACGATATGGTATATGGGGTCTAACTGGAGACTTACTCGGGGACTGCAAATGTTGAGACATACAATCAAATTTAATTAAGTTCTTTTTCTTAATTTCATTGTCATCTTCCTTTATAGGAGTGCCGTCGCTGCTAAAATCAAATTGCTTTTTCAAATCTACTAGATTTTTTGAAAAGCAAGAGTGTGGAGTTCCTGAAATATAAAGTTAATAAATTAATATTAATAAAAAAAAAAAGGTCAAGAGGTTAGGAAAGTAATAGAATAATAATGACATGAAAAACTTGAAATTATAATTAATATATGTTCAATCAGGACTCTAAGTACAGTACACTAAGGAATAAGGAAACAACTTGGTAATTTAAGCCAAAAATATTTAATCTCATTACTGTAGGCAATAAATCAGAAAAAGAAATACAAGCATAGTGGCTTGCTCTTTTCTGAGCAAACATTGAGTTGCCAGGTCCTATATGACCATTGTCTTGCCAAGGCAAGAACCTTTTTAAATCATCTTGCCACATGACTGGGAAGGAAATCCAGAGGAGAATATTCACAAATACAGAGGAACCTCGGGTAACGAGCGGCTCCATCTACAAGCATTTCAGGTAACGAGCAAGCCACGCACAGAAAAGTTGTCTCGATTGACGAGCTTCCGCTCGGTTAACGAGAAAACTATGTGGTGCTTCTTTGCATTCCCACTGGTTCTCGCAAATTCTCAGACGCCTCCAACGATGCAAATCAATTCAATTTTTTTTAAAAGATGCTAATGAAGCTGGGATATAAAGGGGTGACTGCTGTAATGCTAAAAAGCATTGAATTTTTTTGGTAGAAAAAATGAAAAAAATAACAAAATTGAAAAAAGAAGAAATGTGAAAAGGTTCGTTCAGTCTATGTCAGGTAGACTGCTCTATTTTCTTTAAACAATAACAAAAATGAAAAAATAAAAAAATTGAAAAAATTTGAAAAAAAAGAACAAATGTCAAAAAGGTTCGTTCAGTATGTCAGGTAGGCTGCTCCATTTTCCATAAAAAATATAAAAAAATTAAAAAAGAAAGAAAAAGAACAAATATAAAAAATGTTGACCAGACCACACACTAGAAAGTGAAGGGACGACGACGTTTCAACTTGATCGACTTGAGAATGGTCCAGGACGGACCAAAACGTCGTCGTCCCTTCACTTTCTAGTGTGGTCTAGTCAACATATTCAGCCACGTTATTGTGACTCATCATCTGCAAATGTCAAAAACGTTTGTTCTGTGTATGTCAGGTAGGCTGCCCCATTTTCTATGAAAAATAAAACAAATCAAATATCATATTGATGTTTTTCGGTGGTGGAACGGATTAATTTTATTTCCATTATTTTTAAATGGGAAAATTCCTTTTGCAAGACGAGCATTTCACATGACGAGCTAGGTGCAGGAACGGATTAAATTCGTTAATCGAGGAACCATTGAACTCCTCCAGTACCGTGAATTATCAGTTTCCAAACTAACGATACCGAGTTACTCATCACCTGTCCACCACCAGATAGCAGCACAGCATAAACACTACTGACGCACTGACAACCTCACTTCGAATCCACGTTACCCCAAAAAAAAAAAACTTGGTAGTAGGAACATCTAGGACAACAATGGGAGCAACCGAGCAGCTGCTTCAAAAGATGCATTTTATATTACTCAATGCCCAATGGCTGTGCTAGTCTCCTTGGTGTGCTTGGGAGTACCCAGGGTGCAGGTTACAATCCTTATCATGGCTCCAACTGATTTTCTCAATGATACATCACGTTAATGTGATTTCTTTGTGCATTGTTTATAATGTTTCTGGTGAATGAAGAATTTATAGTTTATATTCTTACTATTAACTAAACATTGCTTTGATGAACTGGCAATGTTATATGATGAATCTGAGAACTACACATCAACAAAAACTGTATTTCATCAAGACTGTTGTAACTTGATGGACAGATTTAATGGAAAAGCCCCCTTCTAATTCTAGTCACTAAACATAGAAGCATTACAGGCATTACCTGTATTCTCATGGGGTAAAGATATGACTAAATCTACATATATGTGACCTACCTGAGGACTGAAAAAGTTGAGATGGACGATCACATTTATTAAAGTTATTTTTCTTAATCTCCTTTTCGTCTTCCTTTCTTGGAGTGCCGTCACTGCTAAAATGGATTTTCTTTTTCAAATCATGTGGTATTGCAGAAGATTGAATACATGGTGTTCCTGAAAAATAAATGTAGATAATTCAATACATGATATTCTTTGGTGAAGGCTTTCAGAGTAAAAAAAAATTCCACTCCATGTTAGACATGTCAAACTTTTATGAAAGCGGGGAAGACCATTCATGAGCATGTTCGACACATGGTGAATGTGAAACACATTAAAGACTAAACCTTGAGAAGCCAGAAATGAGACAATCTCCAGATATCGCTATAGAGGAAAGAAACAACTGGATCTTCCCCACTTGAGAGAGTGATCTATAGTATTGTAGTTCAGTGAATGCATACCATGTCTGGCATGATGATGCCTAGATACAGAACTCCAACCTGGGTCAAATGTATCCGCATAGAGCTAAAACAATGGGTGAGTGTGATGGTAAGGCATTAAAGCCTGACAGCCCCAAAGAGGAAATTGCAAAAGCAGGACATTTCTTAATATCAACAGGCCATGTAAGATGTGGCATCTAAACTGCCAAAGAATCATCCACCACAAAAAGCAGTACAGCATCTTCAACCAAATCCAGCCCAGAGGATGAGGCCAAGTGCCTCAAGGGGCACTCAATCTCCAACAAGTAATCTGTCACCTCCCAAGTGCATGGACAGGATGAAGGCCCAACCGGGTCAATGTAGAGAGAGGGAGGATATTCTGAAGTCCAAGACCACTCCAGTAACTGCTGAATCTAGGTTAACACAAATTGATTTTTGGAAAATTCATGAGAAACTCAAAGCGACTCAACTCTCAAATCACAATATCTATGACAAGCAGACGAGACCGCATGCTAGAATCCCTTATGTCATCGAGGTAAGCCAGAACATAGATCTTCATGCTCCATGCACCACACTTGGTTTGCTCACTTAGTACTGATGCCTTCACACCCAGGAGTGGTGCCCACGATGTTTTTTTTTTAACGGTGTCTGTTTACTAAAGGCCTGAGAAAACAGATGTAAGCCCTGTGAATCCGAAGGACTTTAAAATCTTTCCCCAGTACTCTAAAACATTGACAATATGATTCATGCAGTAGAAGGGTTAAGCACTAACACAGTTGAAGCAAGTTCTGTACTACCAGTACTAGAATAAAAACTAAATAGATATAGGCTGAATCACAGTGTTAAGTTTCCAAAGCAAACCCCCAGGAGAGAAAGCTCAGAAATTAGGAGAAATACTACCAAAGAGAGTACAGTACTTTAAGTGGCATAACTGGGTTATGGCACAATCCAGGTGTGAAAAGCCAGAATGAACACCCCAGAAAAGGAGGATACATGTATAGGCACAAGTACTACCAAAGAGAGTACCTCAGCAACATAACTAAACCAAAACAAGCATATGCTCATTTCTGGCATAAATTGGCAAAGCCATCACCCCCATGAGCAGCTTACATATATGAACACACACATACTACAGAAGCAAGAACTGTCAGTGCTGAAACCAAACTTAAACAAGTGTAGGCACAATCCTATTGTGAGGTGCCAAATAGAACATTCCAAATAGAAGCAGTTCACAAACACGAGCACAAGTACGAGAGTACCCACAAAGGGAGTACCCACGGTCCATAACTGAATCAAAACAAGTGAAAGTTGAATCAAGGGAAGAACATCTCAGAAGAGCACAGTACATACACGAATATAAAATTACCAAAGGAAGTACAATACCCTGTGTGCATTAAAGCTCACACCCCTACAGTAGCTTACAATAATGAAAAATAATCTTGAAGCGAGTATTCTAAGAACTGTACTCAATCCCAGAGTGATGGTAAAGCAGATAAAATTGGAAATACTAATAATTCTTGAACTATATTGAATATCAAAAAGATAAGACAGCTTATTTACATTATGTTTGTGATCACAGTGAGCTAATCACCATATTACACATGGCTGAGGGAGCTTGATCCTCCACAAGTACTGTATCTGCATCATAATAAAACAAAGGCAATATGTGCAGTGGTTATGAGGTTACCTTGTGATGATGATTTTGGGGCTTAGCGTCCCTGTGGCCCGGTCTTAGACCAGGCCTCCTAGACCTGAGAACTAGGTGATGGAAATTAAAACTTTATTGTTGACAAATTAAGCAAGTGACAGCTAACCTTGAAAATTAGCCAGAGATTTCTTGATGGTGGGAGTTAGGGCTGAAAGTGGATTAGAAATACTGCTCTTTCTATCAAGTATGCTTGGACTAATGTAAGAGCCATGGAGCTTATTTACTGGAGTAAGCGGTGTCCCTCCTGCAGACCTGAAAAATTGTATAATACATATACAAACTTATTTATAGTAATGCATCTATTGACTTTTGATCAGAATTTATTCCTAATTAACACTTAATTCAAGCATAATTAACTGCACCTATTATAAGCCATTTACAATAAACTTATTGTAATTAAGTAAATAATATTAATCCAGGTTTATATTCATGTGTCTAGCCTGCTTGGATGACATGACTAACCATACATAAGCTCAGCTGGGGAACTAAGCAACCACATACAGTTGCAAAATTGCAGCTCCCATCAACTGGGCATCACATGCCACTTATTTTTGTCATAATTTGTTATAAATCCAGCATTGAATGTAATGAACCACTTCTTTCTAGTTGAACCTCGGTGGCTTCCTGATGCTATCTTGCCGAGATTGCTCTATGCTAAAAGGTCACATCAAATGCATAAGTTCTGTTTGGCCTGCCAAGGACCAGGGGTCAGATTCACAAAGCAGTTATGCAAGTACTTTCGAACCTGTACATCTTTTCTCAATCTTTGGCGACTTTGTTTACAATTATTAAACATTTAATGAGCTCTGATGCACCAGGAGGTTGTTTATAACAATAACAACAGTTGATTGGGAAGTTTTCATGCTTGTAAACTGTTTAATAAATGTAACCAAAGCCATTGAAGATTGAGGAAAGATGTACATGTTCATAAGTGCTTGCGTAACTGCTTCGTGAATTTGGCCCCAGAACCAGAACCTGGCATGTACACAAAAGTGAAGGAAGTGAGTGGCAATTTTCTAACCTATTAGGAAAGCATCCAGAAAGTCAGCAATGCTTTACAGACAACTGGAGAGTTTATAGAAAACAATAAAAAACCACCAAATATCTGCAAACAATTTACATGGAACAAGGGATTCAGTCAAACAAGCCCCTGGTTGCAACTGGCTCCATTGGTTAGCTCCTCTCTCTTCCAATCAAAACCTGGAAGAGAGGGAGGGAGTTTGTAGTTGAGAAAATATGACCTATGTGTAGTTTGTGCAAAGCGGTTAGTGCTCAAGAGGTGTCTTGGCTTGAAGAGATGTTCTTTGCAAGATCAGCATTCGTAAACAGTTTCTTGGCTCACGACATAACCGCATAGGTGATAAGAAGGAAAAGGTACACACAGAAATCACAATAGTGTGATATATCAAATGAATAAACCCACAAGGGCCATGATGAGGGTTCGAACTTACGTCCAGGATGATCCCAGACACGCCTTAATCGACTGCACCACGACATGGTATAAGAATTGCAACCGGGATTGCTACTGCTCCCACACGGATCCCGCAGTCTCTCCGAGACACAAACCAGGGGTTTTACACAATTTCCCCATGCACTTGGACTCTGTCAATAAGCTATTCTATTTATTCATAAGGAAAAGGTTCCCGAGAAGTTGCATAACTGGGTGATGAATTTAGCCCCTGAACATTAGTTATAAAAACTAAAAATATAAAAAATACAGATACAGTAATTATTATTAAAGATTTCTTTGCCTAATAAGGTATTGCCAGACATTAAATCTATATGCACAATTCCACAAAAAGTACTTTCAGTTACCTGAGAACCAAACGACTAGCACTGCGACCTCTGGGGGATGCACGCCGGACACTTATCACGCTGGAACTACTCTGATCACTTAAACAGGGACTCTGAAGGGTGTTATCCTCTGATTTCTTAAATACAAATAAGTTAAATAAGTTTTATAAAAAAAATCATGATTATAATGATATTTAAGACCTTTCAAAATCTTAATTTATTAAAATATTGACAACATTATTTAACTAAACCTTAACATTTGTCCATCAGTCTCACCAATTTAAAAAACAAATTATTAAATGCATAAAAACATTCTTATAATCCTCAAAACCAACATTCCTAATAACAAATATTTATCTATTGACTTTAAAAATCCAAGAGAGGTTGGTGTTGCTATTCCGATGGTCTAACATTTACTATTAATTTGTTGTATTTTTTTTACTCCCTGATCTGACTTCCAATTTGAAGTGCATTGCCTGTTAGCATGTATCACGCTCACACCACAGTATGTGAATTACCAGCTGTGTTTAGTTTATCCTCCAAGTTATCAATGTGGCCAAAAAAGTCAATTCCTTACAATACAGTTACTCGTCAAAATAAATATTTTGATGAGGGAACAGATTTTTCTAAACCATATCCAAATACTTTACATAACTTGCAAATGATAAGTAAATAGCCACCAAATACAACTTACAAATGATAAGTGAGAATTTAGGGAGAGAATTTGGCCAGGAGTTCGCATGTAATTGAGCCCCGGCCTGGTGGAGGCCGTCGGTGTCCCAGAAGTAATGTCTGAAAATTGTAAACCAAAACTTATTTAGAGTTCTCACAAGATCCAACTATGACATGGATCACTACAGAATATATATAATGTTAACAAAGTAAACTTAGAAAAAGAGAGTAACGCATGTATTCTCAGGTGTTTGGCAGTCAAAGGATTATTGATTTATGTAACAACAACAGCATCTATTCACCTTTGCGGAAAGTAATTTTGCTTAATCCAAAATCTGTGAGTTTGAGGTGACCCTTGTTGTCCAGCAGAAGGTTGTCAGGCTTTACATCTCTGTGAACTATGCCATGGCTGCAAGAGTTATTATATAATTATAACACGGTATAGGGAGAAGACTGGCTGAGCACACATTACATAGTACAGGTAAAACAGTAGATGAGGTAGACAGACACTGACACACACACACACACACGAAGATGAAACTGCAATAAGAGATGGCAAAAAATAACATTTACTGACAGTGTTGAACAATTTGGAAAGGATACGTTCCTGCAAGAAGTACCTGACCAACCAAATTGTCGTGGATATCTGGGCCTATGGGCCACTCCCTGTAACAGTCTGTTGGACCAAGATATTACAAGTCAAATCTAGTCCCCAGGCTTGACTTAGGGAGTAAAAGGAGTCTTAGAACCCACTTCAAATTTGATCAGTTATGTCACCTTATCCTTTAGCAAATTGCATATGGCCAAAGAACAAAAACCCCTTATTTCTTAGGCCAAAGGCATTTTAATCTTTTCCTGGTGGTGGCAAACATAAATAACTTTAAATGTAAGGTTTTCAAAAGACCACTACTCCCTGTGCACCTCTGAGAGGGGCTAAGTTCTGGCTCATGGTCCCCGGTAGGCCAATAAGAACTCTGCGACTGACGGCACAAAGTGGTATGCACTGAATCTGTGTACTGTAATAGCTTCAAGGAGCTTCAAGGGGCTCCCTCCAGAAAACTCCAAGTGCCCAACAAAAAATGCCAAACTAAATCATTAAAAACATGATTAGAGCCATATTAAGCGTGTTACCATTCATACTTAATGTTTCCCCTGCTATCTAGGCTGATTTCAATGAGTGAAATTATAATTTCAACCTATCATATGAAGGACAACAACCAAGAGAACCTGTCTGTAAAGAGATTTAACTACAGCTAGCACATTTCCCATGCCCAAGCCTCAAAATCTCATTTTCAAAGGAATAAGGACCCATATTTTTCTGAACAAAAACCTTTGCAACTGGAAATAAAAAAAGGAGAGAATTTGGTTTTAAATACTGTATGCTCAGTGACTGCAATCCACACCTCCCCCCGCTTCAACGAATTCTTCTTCTTTGAATCAGTCGAGTAAATCTAACATGGAAATTGTGTGTTCCAACTGGAGATTTGCCGAATTGAGGTTCCACTGTACTGTATATAGTTTGCAGATTATCAATTGGCTTTCCTTGTGTTGCCTATAATTGCTTAATGGTATGAGACAATGAGAAATATCTCTTGTTGGTGAAACTCTCCACTGTCTTCCCACCCCTAAATTATGTGGCAAGACCATTTGAAAAATTTCTTGCTACAGTGTGGCACAAATTTATCAAGGGACTGGTGAGTGAACTGCATCCTGGGTGGGCCCTGACCATAGATAGAGCAACGAAGAAATGCCCTGTTCAAAAACAAACAAAAATTATAAGACATTCTCTTGGAAGGTATGCCTTCTAAGGACAGGAATCATAGAGCTGAAAACCGACTTCATATGCCACTTTCATTCATCGTAAGAAACAAAGTAATCTTTCTCATTTTTTAAAATTCTCTTCACTCTATGGCATGTGCTCAAACATGACATTACCTATGCAAATAGTCCAGGGCTAGAGCCAACTCTGCAGCATAAAATGTAGCCATTAGCTCATCAAAATAACCATATATGGTCAGGAGGGACTTTAAATCACCACCAATAAGGTACTCCATCACCTGGAAATGGAAAAATAAAAAACGTTATACAAGCAGAAGAATATACATCAGTATTAAGTTATATTATAAAGGGGCATTATGAACAGTAAAATTAAATTTGATATAAACCCAGTAAAGGTAGAGTACAAACTAATTTGTAAGCAAAGTGAGTTTACATGCAATGTTCAGGCAATTATCATCGTCATATACTATACAGACAACAATATGCTTTTCAGATGCCTCCTGGTCGAGACCGACTGAAACCCTGTTGTTTCCGAAACATAATGTGTCATCCCGAAAAATCTAGGGGCTTATTTTTTCACCAAGAACAGAAATCAGTTTTAATAGTTTTGCATGCCCGGCAGGCCACTCGCTTCGCACCGGAAGGTAGGCCGAGCATTGCTGGCGAGTACACAACCCTAGTTAAACTCTTTCACTCCTAATGTTTATACTTAATAATAAGAATAAGTAAAAATTAATGCATGATGCCGAGAGCGTCATCCCCCGAACTGCATGTATTGTTTTGATGACGCCGAGAGCATCATCAGGACGCCAAAATGTTATATAACTATGATCAATGCCTTTCCCTTGGTACAAAAAAATTCTAATATTGCACCCACCTATGAAAATCCCTAAAAAAGGCACTCTGAGCAATATTAAAAGATACCATTTTATACGCTCTCTTTACCCATGCTCTATTGGGAAATTTTACGTATCATTACCTTTCTTCAACCTGTCATTTGAGGAATACCTACTTGGAGAACCTTACTGTACAGTTTTCACTTCCATATTCAGTACTGCCCACACTCCAGTCTCTAAACCTTGTTTGTCCAAGGTAGCACCATAACTTATTTAAACAAAAATGCTTGAAATTCAAAATTAAAACAAACCAGACACAGACACACAGACAGCAAAGAAAAACAAAAGATATAGACAGAAAAACAAACACAGCCAAACAGACAGCCGCACACACACACGAAAGGTTTCCCATTGCTGGGGACAGGAAACCTGAAAATTAAGGAAAAGGAAAGGACAAACTTAATGTGGTCCCCCTAGGCTAACTACTGATCTTCACCAGGATACCACCCACAACAGTTACCCAACTCTAAGGTACAGTTCATGATAGGTGAACAGTGGCATCAGGTAAAACGAAAATGTGCTGTAATGTTTGTAATCTACCACAGAAATCAAATCCAGGACCTTTTGGGCATGAACTAACTACAGTGACCACTGCACTACGGCATATAAGTTACATAACGATTACAAAGCACAATATTTCAGTTTAAATACATCATAAAGCAACACTTGAACTAACCAGAAACACATTGGAGACTGTCTGAAGGGAATAATAAAGCTGCACGCAAAATGGGCTCTTCGTCCTTGCCAACGCATCTCTCTCCGTAATCACTGCAGAAAGAAATGAATGTATCACAAAATTTAAAGAATACTTGAGATCTGTAGATGATTATGAGGTTTCCAGTCTCATAGCTGGACCTGAGATCAGGCTTCTCTTGTGAACACCTTATAAGAAAAGATTGCACATGCAGTCCATGCACCAATACTGCCATAACAATTTGGCTTGTCCACACCTTAAGAAACTTGCTAACTACGTTCTTCAAAAGTCTTTGGTATAAGCCCTATATTTAAATAGGCTACGCAGTCAGGGCCCCAGATATTAACATTGTGTTTTTACAGAGACGCTCCTACTTTCCCTGGCACATTTGCATACAAATTTACCGCCTAACGTTCCAGTGGTTTCCACGTGTATGTTTCAAGACAAACCTTACAGCAACTCTAGATAATGCATTCATAAAGTCCATATAAGCAGTAAAATAAAATCAGATTTTTTTATTTTTCAAGCAAACTATTTTGAAGTGAAATAATTTGTGCATTTCCTAATGAATAACATGACAAAAATTTTAACACAAGTATTTGACATCTTATACAATATACAGTGGTTTAAGTACTGTGTCCAATTATAACGAATAGATGTTATGCTCAGCAAATAAACGTACCCTGCTCAACCATATTCTTATTTACAATCTCCGACTTCTTGACAACTTTGATGGCATATAGCTGAGTTTGATTATCCTTCTTGCAGCCCAAAAATACTTTCCTGTCAACATTAAAGCATATATGAGTAAGAGGGCAATAATAATAGACAAAATCCAAAACAAAATGCATACAGTATCATTCTTTTACAGCTTACAAAACAAAATTATACATATATTATTATTACTCTTTCCCACTTTCATGGGATTAGTGTGTGGTTTACAGCCTATATTAATATTCTTAAACTGACCAACCTCATGACGTCATTCATGTACATATATATATATACTGAATAACCCAGGCGATAATACAGAACTATTGTTTACATCGTTGTTATCCAACCAGTCATAGAATATACCATGCACAACTCTTAAATATGCAATACTTTATACAGAGAAACATTTCACAGTGCAGTATTTCACCAAACTCAGCTCATCACTCTTCAAAATCTCCACGCCCATAAATGCTATGTACTGTACACCTTACAACCTTTCTCACATGTCACCTCTTTAAGCTGTCTCAATGAAAATTTCTGATCTACACATCCTCTTCCACCACAGAACCAACTTTGTGCTTCACAGATAAATGCAGTATTTCAATAACTTCCTGTACTCTTCTTATTATTATCCATCCCTGTAATTTTCCACTACACTTAGACAATTCTTACACTCACTACATTCTTTACTTTATTTTATAGCAGTCTCCGTGGTGTAGTGGTAAGACACTCGCCTGGCGTTCCGCGAGCGCTATGTCATGGGTTCGTATCCTGGCCGGGGAGGATTTACTGGGCGCAATTCCTTAACTGTAACCTCTGTTTAACGCAACAGTAAAATGTGTACTTGGATGAAAAAACGATTCTTCGCGGCAGGGGATCGTATTCCAGGGACCATAGGATTAAGGACTTGCCCGAAACGCTACGCGTACTAGTGGCTGTACAAGAATGTAACAACTCTTGTATATATCTCAAAAAAAAAAAAAAAAAAAATTTGTATTCAGAAGCACAATTACAGCTATTTTTCCAATCTTCCTGTACAGTTCCACTTTTCCATGCCTTCTGGAAAATTCTCCACATCAACTTTATTAATTTTTCTTCACTTCACTACCTATATTAATCATTTCTGTTGTCACGGTAAAATCTCTTGGAAGACATTCAGCCTACTCCATTATCGTCTATTCTACTCATTCACGTCTATTTATCAAGAACTGCAGCCAAGAACAACAATAACAACAACTACTTCCAGATGTCTAGACAGTCTCCTCCCTTCACCACGGCCCGTCACCCCCCCCCCTCGCACCTGGGTCGCTGGGAGGCCACGCCCTCCGAAACAAGCAGTTTAACTGCCGGTTCATAGTTAAAGAAGCCATCAGCGCCATCTGCCCAGCCAATATTCTGTATAAATAGGGCTACCAAGCTCTCCAAGATTCAGATTACTCCTGAGTGCTTTTGCTGTGTAGACCTGTTGACATACCCCGGTGTGGTAACAGAGCTATTCAGTTTGACTCACAGTATTCCGCACCATATTTTATTTTGCACCTTAACGTAACATAAATTTGATTATTCATCTTGTTTGTTTTGCACACTTTGTATTAAAGCCAAGCCTGGATATTATTATATGTTTTGTAATTTGTTTAACTTCAGTTTTTGTTTTAAAGTAAAGTACTGTATTTTTAAATGTTTTTTCCCTCTGTTTTATCCTACAGTTTTTCATTGTGAAGACACCTTTTGCAGATTAACTTTTTTTCTATATTTATTTTTAATATTTTGTGACTGGCATTACAGAGAATGCACGACCACCAAAGTTTCCCGTCACACTGTATATTACCTAAGCAGCACCTATAATTTTCCCACATTTCAGCTTCTTCAACATACTCACCTCTTCCACAGAGATCTCAGCTGCCATATCAATCTTCATATGAAGATCGATATGATGGTATATGATAGTGTGAGACGATTGGCGCATATCATGCTTCAAACTTCTCACACTATCATATACTGTACCATCATATTCACACTAGGATATCTCATCACTTCCATGTATTATGTTTTCTAAATACAGGTATTCTCTCTATTTCTAACTACCTCTTCACCATTAAACACTTTCCCTGTCTGTCATTATAATTTCTATTTACCTAAAAACAGAATCAATGTCAATTACATTAGGCTAAAGAGGCATTTAAAGTTAAAGTCTATTTATATTTTCATTACCATCAGCACATTAGAACTAATGTAAAGAACTTTGATTATTTGTATGAATATACATGGGTTAGAAAGAACAAACTTAAATACTATACCTTCAATTACAGTTTACATATGCATCCATTTCTTCTATAACACGTACGTTGTAAATATGACTGAATGACACTTCTTGCCTTATACTGTATGTGTATGTATATATTTCACTCACCTGGGCAAACCGTTGACCTCCAGAATGAAAGATGGTCACTCTATCAACTGCGCAGAAGTGCAGTTGATAGAGCATGTAAAAATAAATATATATAGCAATATGGCATTTTGCTTAAAAACACAAACGATTAGTCCATATGAGATAGAAAAGAAATGAGCAATAAAAAATTACCCAAATGCTCCACGACTGATTGGCTTCAAGAACTGGAATTCCTCAATGTCAGGCATCTGAAAAATATATGGTATATAAGAAAAGTATAGTACATGTATACACACATGTATATGAAAGTACACAGTTAACATGATACTGATACTGTATAATACTAAATGCATGAGAATAAAAAAAACTGTCTGTGTCATTTAGTGTACATATGGTAAAGTCATCAGTCTCTGGACACTTAGAAGTTAATTAATTTATTAATTCATTGTGTTGGGGGGACAGGAAGCTAGGGTATACATATACTGTAGTATATGTTAGGCTTATACTGAGGTTCCCTTTCCCCCAGGGTCAAATTACTGACCCTGCCCAGGATGCAACCCTACAACAAGCCGACTAACTCTTGGGCACCTATTTACTGCTAAGTGGACAGGGGCATGAGGTGAAACGAAACGCTCCCAACCATTTCTGTGTCGCCCAGGATTCGAACCCAGAATTCTCAATTGTGAGTCAAGAACAAACTTGACTGTACTACTGGGACTCTCCTAGTTATTGATACTCTTGGTAGACTGTAAAATAGCTTTACTGTACAGATTTGTTTATTGCATCCCGCATAGGGCACAAATTTTGGGCATATTTCCTATCACCTAATGCCCTCTTCACCTAACTAAATAGGTACCCAGAAGTTAGTCAGCATCTTGTAGATTTGCATCCTGGGAAGGGTCAGTAGTTCAACCCTGGGGGGGAGGGGGGGGAGAGGGAACCCTCAATATAAGCCTATTTTTTTTTTTTTTTTTGAGATATATACAAGTTTTTACATTCTTGAACAGCCACTAGTACGCGTAGCGTTTCGGGCATGTCCCTGGAATGCGATCCACGCCGCGAAGAATTACAATTAGAAGAAAGAATTACGCCGCGAAGAATGTTACAACCAAGTACTCATTTTACTGTTGAGTTAAACATAGGCTACAGTTAAGGATTTGTGCCCAGTAAATCCCTCCCGGCCAGGATACGAACCCATGACAAAGCGCTTGCGGAACGCCAGGCGAGTGTCTTACCACTGCACCACGGAGACTGGTATATAAACCTAACATGTGTAAATACACTCTGGCTGGCTGTCCCCTGACACATTAAATCAAATTATAAATTATTACTTTATAAATGTTAAAATATGCAAAACTACAAAGAATGATGTTGTATATTATGTTATCAAGAAAATGAATGAAGCACTGTATGGATACAGGAATACCATCTCAAGCAGGGATGGCGGTTACCAAACCAACTATCTATTTTCACAGCGGAATTATATGCCTTGTATCAAGCTCTCCAAATCATCACAACATTACCAGTTGGGATATATACAATCTGTAGTGACTCCTAGAGCGCGATTCAAGCAATTACGTACTCTTCAAAAACATGCAAGGAGATTGTCTACCCATGCCTTCAACTTCTTCACAGACATCAATTGAACGGTTATGACACCTCTATCCAATGGGTCCCAGCATATTGTGGTATTCTCCATAATGAACTTGTAGACCAACTAGCCAAAGCGATGCACAACACGCCTCACCTTACCTGTCATCCAATTCCCCATGTTGCACGTAAAGGAGCCTTCAAAGATACCATCTCCCAGGATTTTGCAACAAACTGGAAAACGTTATGCTCACCTTTGCACTATGGGTCCATTAAAAAGAAATGGGAAACTTGGAAACATGTCCGATATAAAAGCAGAGAAATTGATGTAACGATGACCAGATTAAGGCTGGGACACACCAAATTAGCAGCACACAGCTCTAAGTACAGAACAGACATCAATGAACTCTGTACTCACTGTCAGGTGCCTGAAACAGTCGAACACTATCTCCTGCACTGCTTCCGACATCATAGTGCCAGAGTAAATTTCAAACAAGTCTTTATCGCACTTAAAATACCCTTCACCATCGAGCATATATTAGGAGGTGGCGACCACTCGTTACAAGAAAAATGCCAAATAGTCAAAGCACTGGCTAAATATCTACAGTCGACCAACAAATTGGGTCACATCTGACCCGCGCCACATTTATACCTGGCGCCACCAACAGCTGAACACAGAAAACAACTGCCTCGTCGCAACACCAAGGATCAGCTGACGCCATAAACACAACACACCGCCCTACGGTGCGGCAAGTCTCCCTCTAACACACACCTCTGTTTTAATCACCGTTCCTCTATCTACAGCACAACGCAACAAGCACCTTGATAGCTCCGATCATCTTCAACATAAACGCGTCCAACAACATCAGTACTGGTGCAGTCATCGGGAGGACAAACCCTTCATGCAAACTGCACCTACTATCAACAAGAAGAGAAATGAATGAAACGAGTATGACTATACAGCACTTACAGGATGCTACATACATGCAAATTACCACTATTATATTATTTTGTACACTGCCACTAAACCAAATTATATAAAATGAAAAATATTAAGTAAATAAAGCATTAAAACAATTTAGAATCAGTACAAAAATATAGACCGACAGTGGGAAGACCCGTAAAGTTATTCCTTACCTTCTTCATCTCTTTCTTTGCCATTCTGTCCGCCTTATTACAGCCCACCGTTATTATGTTCTCCTTATTATCGTCTTGTTCCATCTTTATTGCAACATTCGACCAGATTTTCGTAAAACCTTGAGAAATGAGCAAACGCGGCCCAGACTCCTTTTGAAAATCTTGCTGATTCTTGTTGATATTTACATCCCGGCGGCAGTGCACCTTTCCAAGATTATCGTAACATTTTTATAATTATACTTTTGTGTTACTAAAGCTTTTATTTATAATATTTTATTTATATAATAACAATTTTAGACTACTAATACAATATATATACAATTTCTCCCCTCATTGTTAACAATGTTATGTAACTTCATATTCCCCCACCCCTTTCCAAAAAGAATTTGCTTTATTTCATTTTATTTTTTGTATTTACTTATATATATACAAGAAGGTACATTGGGTTTATGAGAGTACATGAATTGATGTTTTTTACATTCTTGTAAAGCCACTAACACGCATAGCGTTTCGGGCAGGTCCTTAATCTTTTCGTTTCGTTCCTGAGTTTACCTCAGAGCCCCTAACACTATAATTTTTTTTTTTTGAGATATATACAAGAGTTGCTACATTCTTGTACAGCCACTAGTACTCGTAGCGTTTCGGGCAAGTCCTTAATCCTATGGTCCCTAGAATACGATCCCCTGCCGCGAAGAATCGTTTTTTCATCCAAGTACACATTTTACTGTTGCGTTAAACAGAGGCTACAGTTAAGGATTTGCGCCCAGTAAATCCTCCCCGGCCAGGATACGAACCCATGACATAGCGCTCGCGGAACGCCAGGCGAGTGTCTTACCACTACACCACGGAGACTAATGTAATAATAATAATAATAATTTTTATTTAGGCAAAGGTACATACATAAAGAGATTTTACAAAGTTTGTTGGCTTTATAGATAGAGTTAGTACATACAATGCCTAAAGCCACTATTACGCAAAGCGTTTCGGGCAGGAAAAAAAACACTACTGACTAAAGCTTAAAACTAATGGGTAAAAAGAAAAAAATGCGTTGAGTACAAATAAAAATAGAGGTAAAAGAGGGGGGAACATTGTTGAAAAAACAGCACAAATACAATTACAAATTATTACAGAAAATTACATTAAAACAGCGTTGATTTGAAAAAAAAAAAAAAAAAAAAAAAAAAAAAAAAAAAAAAAAAAAAAAAAACATACATGGGTTGACAATAGAGGGGTAAGGTAGGTTACAGGGAATTTATTAGGTATAGCTTCGTTTTTAACTTAAACTGGTTGAGAGAGGTACTGTCTTTAACATGGTTGGGAAGGTCATTCCACATTCTGGGCCCCTTGATTTGTAGAGCATTTCTGGTTTGATTAAGTCGTACTCTAGGAATATCAAAACTGTATTTATTTCTGGTGTGGTGCTCATGGGTTCTGTTACAACCTTCTATGAAGCTTTTGAGATCAGGATTGGCATTGCAGTTTAGCGTTTTATATATGTATAATACACATGAGAGAATGTGCAGTGACTTAATGTCTAACATATTCAGGGATTTGAGTAGGGGTACCGAGTGATGTCTGGGGCCAGAATTGGATATTGTCCTAATAGCAGCTTTGTGTTGAGTAATTAGAGGACGTAAGTGATTTTGGGTAGTAGAGCCCCAAGCACAAATACCATAGTTGAGATATGGATAGATAAGGGAGTAATAGAGAGTCACCAGGGCAGGGCGTGGTACATAATATCTGATCTTAGAAAGAATGCCCACCGTTTTTGAAACTTTTTTTGATATGTTTAGAATGTGTCCCTGGAAATTCAGCTTGTGGTCAATGAGAATGCCAAGGAATTTGCCATCTAATTTGTTACAAATTTGGGTATTGTTTATTTTGAGATTTATTTGATTAGAGGATTTATTGCCAAACAGAATATAGAAAGTTTTGTCAATGTTAAGGGTGAGTTTGTTGGCAGTTAGCCACAGATGGTCTTTATTTAGCTCAGTATTTACTGTGGCATTTAGAGCAAGGGGATCAGGACTGGAGTAAATGAAGGTTGTGTCGTCAGCAAATAGGATTGGTTTGAGGTGTTGGGAGGCATTTGGAAGGTCATTAATGTAGATGAGAAAGAGGAGAGGGCCAAGTATGCTGCCCTGGGGAACACCAATGTTGATGGGTAGGGTGGGAGAAATTGTATTATTCACAGAAACACATTGGAGCCTGTCAGTAAGGTAGGATTTGAGGTATTGTAGGGAGTGTCCTCTGACACCATAATGATGTAATTTAAGAAGAAGGTTTTGGTGGTTGACAGTATCGAAAGCTTTACGCAGGTCCACAAATAACCCAACAGGGAACTCCTTTTTATCAAGAGCTGTATGAATCGAGTTAAGCATACTAATAAGTGCATCGTTAGTGCTTTTTTTTGGGCCTGAAGCCATATTGGCAAGGGCTAAGTATATTGAGTTTGACTATTGGCCTCGATGAGGACAGGAAGCCAGCGGCTTGTCGAAGGCCCTCTTCCCCCCCCCCCCTTTTTCTTTTCCAGCTCACCATCTGGTCACCATTTGGTCCGGGAGACATCTCCCGTCATGCAGGGTGCATTCGCACCTCCACAGATCTTCAGTATTAGCTCTTGATACTGGTAATGGCTTAAAATGGCCACCACTTACGGGCTATTTATGCCCGTGCCACCTTTTGGGTTGCTTCATCTTCATCTTAACACATTCATAAGGGAGACATCTCCCGTCATGCACCTCCACAGATCTTCAGTATCAGCTTTTGATACTGGTAATGGCTTAAAAGGGCCACCACTTACGGGCTATTCATGCCCGTGCCACCTTTTGGGTGGCTTAATCTTCATCAATCAATCTTTTCCAGCTGTACCTTAAATGTTAACAGAGTTTTGGCATTTACGACTTCGGCGGGTAGGCGGTTCCATGGGTTTATAACCCAATGCACGCCATACCCATCCTGTGGGCGATAATGGACCCCCATACTCATCGTTGTGGACAGTAGTGGACCTAGGATGAGTCTGGGTTGTGGATGAGTACCCCCATACTCTGTAGTGGACTCATCATACTCATAAATGATTGCGAGAAGCTATAACAATTGATAGCAAATAGGAACGCTGTAAATTGTGAAGAAGAACAGTTCAGTAATAAAGACGCGTAGAGAAGAATTGTAAGTAGGCAGCGGCGATGACACGATAAAAAACGATAATGCATGCAGTAAGTGAACTAGAATAGCAGTAACTTAATATACAGCGTAAATATGAAGGAGAAAGTAAACAGTATCCTAAGTATTTAGTTATTTATTTGTTTATTTATATACAAAAAGGTATATTGGGTTTATGAGGATACATAGCATGATGTGTTTACATTCTGATCGGGGAGAAAAACACAAGCCAGAATGGGGGGACCTTATTTATTAAATAATGTATACAGAGCAACTGCTGTACCACAATATAAATGATGTCGTATAACATGACTGAGTAGAACGCCAGTACTGCAAAGATGCAACTAAGGAAATAAGTCGTAGCACATTAACAGTGCCTAGTGCCAGCTAGCCGAAGCAATGTTGCAGTACTCACAAGCAGCTTAATGCTATAATTAAAGACAACACTAGAGTTAATTGAGTGGCACAGCCAGTACAGTATGTATAAAATATATTCTGTATACACAGAGGGCATAGAAAAGAATAGATAAGAATTTCCAGGGGTAATGATATGCTAGTGCCTGGTTTACATGTAAAGTCTGCAACCCCCAACTTGCACTACAAGTGAGCACTTGACATATGGTAAGTAGCTGCGGGCAGCCCTAGACTTGGGGATCCGGCGCAGCCGATCCCCCACTCGGCAGGCCAGCGCAGCCGGTCCCCCACCCCCCTGGAGCAGAGCAGAGAGCTGAGTGTGGCCGGAGTCGCGGAGCTCTATGTGGGAGAGCGTGGCGGCTCGATTGGGAATTGCGAGTGTCTGAACTCGGGGAGCGAGAGCGATGTAGCTGGATGCGGTCGTAGTCTGCTGTCTGCTCTGTGTCGAAGCTGTAGCGTCTTGGGTCGATTAGAACTGCCTACACCGAGTACTACATTCTTGACTGGAGATTGTACTGTTTTGCTATTCTCAAATCGCTGGCTTATATACGGTTACTACACCTCACAGTAAGATAGGAGGGTGGAAAAACCGTTACCTGTAAATAGGGATAGGATTATAGCTTGTGTAATTAGTTATGCCATTAAGATGATGAGATAATGGAGCGAGTATAGGTTTACTCGCTACAGGTGCATATATATTGGGGGATTGGGTAGCACTAGACACTACTATTATAACCGTAATATATATGTAACTGTTGTAACTTAAAATATATATTGTAACTGTAATATAACAATATTGTAACTGCTGCTAATAGAGGAATGTGGCTAGTAACGTGAAAGGGGCAACGATAAGCAAGACACGAAGGTATCATCGTTAAACAAGCACAGTGTAGGCAGGCGATGAGTCACAATAACGTGGCTGAAGTATGTTGACCACACCACACACTAGAAGGTGAAGGGACGACGACGTTTCGATCCGTCCTGGACCATTCTCAAGTCGATTCTTGTTATTATTTCAAATTATTATGTTTGTCGTCCGAAACGTCGTCGTCCCTTCACCTTCTAGCAATGTATTCTCACAAACCCAATGTACCTTCTTGTATATATATAAATAAAATAAAATAAAATAAATACAAAATAGTGTGTGGTGTGGTCAACAAGCACAGTGTAGTATTGGGGTGCAGAACCTGCGGAAGTGTCCCCCCTCGTGCTGAGAGCAACAAGAGGAAGAGAAACACACTGGGGAGGTATATAGGCAGACTACCACACACTGGCGTGCCTGAGTGGGAGGTTTACGATGGGAAAGTGAGAGCGGGCGAATGGAAGGGAAAAAACAAAGGAAATATGGAAGAAGAAGAATAGTAGGTGAGAGGAAACATTATTAGCGTTGAGGGGAAGAGCCAGAGGTTAACTCAGCTAACTATAGCTTGATGTATGATCGGAGTATTGCAGGAATCTCATTTTGGGCTGTTTGTGTGTGTGTGTGTGTGTGTGTGTGTGTGTGTGTGTGTGTGCTCACCCACCTAGTTACGTGTGTGTGTGTGTTTTATGTATGTGTATTCCTTCTTTGATGAAGGCTTTCAGTAGTGAATGTGATGGAGTGCTGCCAGTG